CATGCTGTAGAAAAAACTATCACCGTAATGATAACAATAAATGGATGATGAGTAATAACTCTTGTGATACTAAAAAAAAACAAAGGAAAAGAAAATTAGAGTAAAATTAAATAAATAAACAAAACTCATAAATACAATAATAGATCATGTCAGTCAGAATCAAAAAACAATATATGATAGTAATAATAGATTAAAAATGTATAAAGAAGATCAGATTTCATGCACAAATGACAGAAAACACAAATAAAAACTATTTTTCAGGAAAAGAAACACCAGTTCCAAGACATATCTGTGAAGAAACTTATTTTGAGAACAAAGCATGTTCCTATCTCAAGTCGGAATGATAGAAGAGGAAACAAGTAAGCCAGTTTGATTAGAACACATCTTCAGTCATATTCATAGTTATTTTTCTGCAACATTTATACTTAATTTACCTAGTCCTGTCATAAATATTGCTACTAGAAAATATATACAGATTCCAATAGAAAAATTATTTTTTTAAAAAACTTAGAAAATAAAATGTATATCTATAGAGAGTAAAACAAAAAAGAAATTACTCAAAATTTCCCCCTTTTGCCTTGACAATGGCATTTAATCTCCGTGGCCAATCATCAATAGCAGTACGCAGCACTTCATAAGGAAAGCGCTCAACTGTTCGGCCCAGAGATTGTTTGAGGCTTTCTAAGTTAGAGTGTGTTCTGTCGGCATCCTCTCTAGTTCGGACCAAAGTCGATAATCTAGTGGGTAGAGATCAGAGCTTCCTGAGGGCCAATCCAAGGCAGAGATGAACTCTGGAATGTTCTTTTGCAGCTACTGCTGAGTTGACCTGGCCTTGTGAGTTAGAGAGGAATCCTGCTGGAGAATCCAATGATTTTCAGCAAACTGATTATCATTTAGAGGCTTGACAACAGGTTTCAAAATATCGTCCTGACAGATTTTAGCGGCTGGTTTAACTCCTTTTTCACAAAAATGGAGCTTTGTGGTGCCATCAAAGCAAACTCCCCACCAAACAATCACTGAGGAAGGGTGATGACCTCTTTCCACTCTTCCAATGACTTCTTGGACTTCTTTAGAGCTGTGTGCCTATTACCACGATTATTTTGGCGATTCAATTTTTTTTCAATAGTAAAAATTTTCTCATCGCTAAACAAAATCTTTCGATGAAGACCATTGGCGTAACAGCCAAGGAGGACTTTGTATCTATCCACTCTAATTTTTTTAGGGAAGTGATTAGCCTTTGCCCTGTCATTCTTTGAAATGCACCCATCCTAAGGTCACTTTTTATTATGGGAGGCAATGATCTGACAGAGATTCCCATTTCCCGAGCCATCATTTGTTGTTTTCGAATGGGATTTCTTCTGATTTGAGCAGCCACTCCTCTCACTGCATTTGCCGTTCTCAGAGTGCGGGGATGGCCCGGTCGAGGTCTGTCACATACAGAAAGGGTCTCATTATATCTATTTAAAGTGCGGTACACGAATGATACCCAACGGTTTCAAAGAGTTGAAAATCTCTGACCTACATTTTCCAACTTTGTGTAAGGCGGTCACAGCCATTCGGTTTTATCACCCCACTCCATATTAACTGAGCGAAAGAAAAATATAAACTAATTGGGATTATTATCGTGACATGTAAAGAAAATAACCTGATAGATGTAAGGATTATCTAAATAATACCCAAGGATGTAAACAAAGTTCAACTTTGGTAACAGTATTTATGGCAGAACTAGGTACTTAGTAAGAAAAATTTAGATTGATATTCTGTTTTCCTAATTTTTTCCTTGTTTCATTGTGTAATTTTTTCTAATTTTATTTATTTTAGATATTTTCCTTGGTGTTTTGTAAAAAGACCTTGATTATTCTTTAGCTCAACATTGCCAAATCTTAAATCAACCAAAAATTAATTAATACCTTAAGTTACCATCCTTTTTTGTAAAAGATTAACATAATGCCTCAGATTATTTTGGTCCCATTAATGTTTCAAAAATTGATAATGGGAGTTTCAAGAGATTGATTGATTTTGAGAGATTGATAATGGGTGTTATATGTTTCAAGAGAAAATTCATTAGGGTGAAACATATACCAGAACCAAGAGTAATAACATTAAAAGGTTATCATATTTGTAACACTTTGTCCTAGAAAAGTAGTAACGTTTTTGTTTGAATTTTAAAGAAATACATTGTTTTCCGAAATTTTCTGCAAACTGAGACATTTTAAGGTGTTTGGACATTTCACAAACTAAGGGAAATACAAATATCTAAATGATTGTTTTTCCATGCTAGTATTTTTGATGTTTTCCATCTACAGTCGGTAACAAAAGAAATTTTAAAAAAGTTTGCCTTAGCGCTAATGTCACTGTCGGTTAAGATTAGGGGTCTCCAAACAGCCGCTTGCTTGGGCTATATTGGGCCCATGAAAGTTTCTTTGAATACATGATAAAATTTTAAGTACTTTAAAAATATAAAATTCAATAATTGTCTCAAACAACCTCGTGTTTATCTTAAAAGGCTTATTTCACAACTCAAGTGTGATTTATAAAGAAATAAAAAAGTTTGGGTTAGCACTGATTTTTTAAGTTAGATAATTGTGTTTTCCATAGTTTGTTAAATATCTACATGTGCCTTTAGATTTAAGATACAAAGAAATGCATTCAAAATATTAATTTAATTATGATGGAAGCAGTACAACAATTTAATCACTATTTAACCCTGCCATTTTAACAATTGTAAATCATGATTATTGTGTTTAATAATCCAAAAGTATAATGTTGATGTTGATTATCACAGGTCAGAAACATAAAAACTATGTTTGTTACGATATTTATTGCCTAGGAAGAAGTGAAAGTTTTGAACGGTAGACAAATATTTCTTCAATAAGTAGGTGGTTCAGGCGACTCTTTAAATTTATAAATAACTTGTGATAGAAAATAATTGAAGCTGATGAGTCCCCATTTGAGAGGATCTTACTTAACCTATCATAAATATTCTGCTACTAAGAGTAGGGAATTACTTTTCTAAACCTACTTTAGGATTCTCAAATTGTTTGAGTTCCATCCACAATGTACTCAAGTGATTTTGAAACCAGCCACCAGATTGGAGTAGGGATTTGGAAATAGTACCAAAATTTAATAGGAATTAAAAAAACTAATAACTGTCATTCAAGTTACCTATAGAAATAGATATATTAAAATAATAAAATTTTGTTGCTTAAACATAGACAATTGCCATTCCATTTTGGAATTAGTTATTCTATCTGTTTATATACAAGATACATACTATAACAGAATAATGAACACCTAATGACCAATCTAATCCTATTTTTAGATTGGCACCCTGGAAATACCAATCAGTTAAAATACACCTCACTTTTATTAAGCACAAAAAAATCAGATTTCAATAAACTTGAATTCCTAAAAGAAATTCAAAAATATTCAGATCCTGAAATAATATACACTGATGAATCCAAACAGAATGGTAATATTGCTTTGGCAGTAATTATAAATGAGATACCCAATTAACCCCAACCTCAACAATATATACTGCAGAATTACAGGTTATTTCTGTAGCACATTACATTTATCAATGAATATGGAATGCTCGAAAATAGTAATTGTTCTGATTCCATCTCTGTCCTTCAGAGTATAGCAAACTTTAATAAAACTGGACCTACAATAAACAAAATCCACCAATATATCGAAATTATAAACAACCTTAATAAAAGTACAATTTTTTTCTGGACTCCAGGACACTAGGAAATGAGGCAGCAGATGAAGCTGCTGAAGTAGCAGCTCATATGAACATCCCACCACTCCAAATATATGAGCCGAGTGATGTAAAAACATTGTTAAAAGACAGAGTATGAACAAATTGGTAGGCCATGTGGAATGAAATATCACTGACTAGTAAACTTAGAAATATTAAAAAACGTACAAAACCGTGGGTAAGTACTGGAAGAGAAAACAGAAGAGAATAATTGGTTGTGACAAGGATGAGAATTGGTCATACTAACCTGACTCATTTAATAACAAAAGAGGGCCAACCATATTGCGATACCTGTCAGTCCCCGCTAACTATGAAGCATATAACGGAAGACTGTACATTACTACATCAAGCCTTTGTAAAAAAACTAAATACCCCGTTGTAGAGAACTAGCATTAAAAGACTCAGTAAATTCAATAGAAAATATTATAAAACTTTTAAAACAAACTCAATTGTACCATAGAATATAATAATTAATGCAATACATGAAAAGAAACTTTTTTTTATTTTTTTATATATTTTTTCTTTACATTCAGAAAGGTAAGTTAAAAATAATAACATCATAGCTCAAGGGCGTAATAACTAAGCTGTTGATCGCCTAGGACAACTCGTAACCTAACTATAACAGAATATAATTTTATCCAACTTCAATCATTCTAATTGAATCCATACTCATAAATAATAAAAACATAGATTTCAAAAGCGTTATAATAATTTATTTTTTCTAGTATAATGACGAATACCAAGAAAATAAGAAAAGGAAAACGTAAGATACACAAATAAATTAAGAATTAACTTGCTTACCAGCACATAGTAAAATTTTGAATCCAGAATGACAAGACTTAAAAATATCACATTATGAACAGAAGTTCACCTAGAAATAAAATAAAATTACATAGAATAGAAGAAAAAAAATTAGTTATATGTTGATATAATAAATGAAAATGACTAACTTCCCAATTGAAAAAATGATTTGAAGGTACAAAATACTTTCTTTTAATTTCATACTAAACTGAGCACAATATTATCAAGCCTTAAAATAACTAAATGTTAAACAATACTTCATGGTTTAATAAACAATATTTCTACAGAATCAAGCAAAAATTATTTTTATCACAGGTATAAAATCATAAAATTGAAAAAAATGAGAAAATTCAGTGAAGAATTTAAACATATTAATGTTAGTTAAAAACATCCATTTAGCCAAAAGTTTGTTTTCTACAGTTCTTGCACTGAGCCCTACCCTATAACCTCTGCACAACCTTCCTATTTACATCCTGACACTTGTTTGAATGGTTACAAATATGTCAAATAGTGTTATCTCTCACTGATTATTTTCCATTGTAATATTTCATTGTTTTTAGTTTAGTTGTGGATTGAAAATACTTCATGTTTAGAAGCAATTCCTTCATAACTAGAGAAATGAGATCTAAGAGACGTAAAACGCTCTTAACTGTTATTTTATTAGGGTTTCTAATTTCTATTTTTCTTTTTGGTTACTTAGCTTTTGGAGAAGACCAAACTGGACATCCAACTTTGGTGCAGCTCCACATTGTAAGTCGAACAACTCTTATTTCTGATATCATTGTAGTGAAGTCAGTTTAATCACAGGAGTAAAACTGTTTGTATAACTTTGTTAGAAAATAATTGCTCTGAAGAATTCTGTTATTGATGCGGCATTATGTAACTATTTGTCATTATTATTTAATTTCTGTTCAGCTCTTCAGACACGGAGAAAGAACCCCATCATCAAAATATCCTACTGATCGACACAGTGACTTTATTTGGCCTGATGGACCTGGTGCATTAACTAATGTCAGTGCTTTTATGTTTAATATTATTTCAAAAATTTGTTTTACCAAAAGTTAATAAAGAAAAATCTTGTTTCAGAAAGGAAAACAAAGCATGTACAACTTCGGTAAAACTCTTAGACAGCGGTATGGCAGATTTTTAAGTGAATACTATTCTCCTGATGAACTGTCCGTTGTCAGTAGTTATGCTCCTAGGTGTCAAATGAGTGCAATGACTTTGTTAGCTGGCCTTTATCCTCCTATGGGTAAACAAGTATGGAATAAAGATTTGTTATGGCAACCAATTCCCGTGAATCCTATTCCTAGACATATTGATAATGTAAGTAATGAACAATGTTCATTTTTATATCTGCTGTATGATGAATTGTTTTATTGCATTTTGTCCGTCCCAGTGGTAAAAATATTTCGAAATTTTACAGTTGATCACAGCTAAAGCATCCTGCATGGCTTTTGATGTTGAGAAGAAAAAATCTGATAAAGAACTTCTTAATAATTTGACTGAAAGCGATAACAAAATTTTCAGTTATTTATCTCAAAAAACTAATTCATTTATTGAAAATATTGAGCAAGTGGAACAACTTTACAGCATCTTAAAAATAGAAGTAATGATATACTATATAATTTCTTTAATTAGTTTAAATATTTAATTAACAAATATTAATTATTATTGTTTTCTCAAATATTTCAGAAGTATTTAGTTTTATGCTACTGAAGAATTTATGGGGTTTTGATGAAAATTTGAAAACTTGTTTTAATAATTGGAAATCAGAATAAAATGGGCTGATCGGTAATGTGACACACATTAATCCCACAATATGTGATTAGAGAAACTGAATGGTGGATAGAGAAGTGTCAATAAGTGCTGAAAGGGTAGGTCAGTTTTATCAGAGGAATTGTTTTGGAACTTCACTGTGATCTCTAAAAGACAATGGAAGCTCGTGCTGTTAATCTTAAAAATTTAATCTTTCTGAAAAACAGAAATCTGAATTAAAAAGTAAATCAACCTGTGAGAATGAATAATGTTCAGAAACGCTTGATTCTTAAGCAAAGAATTTTTGAGCTATTCTTGGGGATTTCAAAATATTTGCTTCATTCGTCAGCTTCCCAATGGTATACACGACTCCACAAAGCTTGCCTATTCAATAAGATATATCAATGTTGGAAACTCAAAAACGATATGAGTACCTAACTAGTTTTAGTTTCTCTGGTTTTCATTTTTTTTTTTTATTTTTTTTTTTGGTTAAAGGGTATAAAACTACTCCAAACATTTGGAAAGATGGCTTTATTATTCCTCCAAAAATAATATATTACCTTCAGAAAATGAAAAGTGTTTATACCATCGAAATCTTACATAACACAAAATTCATGATTTCTGATAAAAGGGAAAGAAAGATAATAACAAATATTTGCTATTGAGTAAAATTGATATTGTGTGTTTAAGTAGATATGGAAGTACATTCGGCCCTTAGGATGATAAATAGGGTTACAAGATAAGAGTATTTCCTTAGTTGGGTATTTTTTTATTGAATATAAATATCTTATTTTATCTTAATGGTGTTAATAGAATTTATTATAAGTGTTTTCTCTTAATATATGTTATTTGACTTATAGACTAATAAATTTAATTTTCAAGGATGAAAATGGACTTGTTATTCCGGAGTGGACAAAATCTGTATTTCCTGAACCAATGAAAACTTTTACACAAATGAATCTTGAAAGCTACTCCAGAACACCGAAGTTGAAAAGGTTACAAGGAGGTAAAATAATCATCACTTCTTTCTATAATCAATGAATTGTTAAGTTCTATTGTTTACTTTACTTTCCTACCATTGCTAGATAAGGAAAGCATTGTAATCGGATTAAATATTTTGATATGTGGTTTTCAACAGATCTTTGTGTTCCTGAGTCCAAAACACACATCTTTAACCATTGGTATGTATGCAAAGATTATCTCTCAAACGGCTGGACCTATTTCGTTTCTTCTTTTCTAGTTTTGGCCCTTGAGACCCGTTTACCCAATCGATCAACCATTACACAATTAGGGAAAAACGTGTTTTTCTCTGAAGTGTTACATCAAAATAAAAAAAATCTGCTATGGTGCATGCATCACACAACTTTCACATACCACTCTCTTCTTAGCAGAAATAAGTATTTTTAGACAAAGGAGAAGTGAAAGTAAACATTATAAACGCTATATTTATTTATATTTCATTGTGAGTATTTTTATTTGTATAAATACCTTTATATATACAAATTTTAATACTTATATCAATGTAATCTATACAATTAAATATTAAATAATACTAACAATAGCATTTATGAAAACTGCATATGTATATTTATATAATATTATTATATCGTCCATATTATATTAAGCTCATGTTACGTATGGAAGCGTGTTCTAATCTTTCGGGCTAGCTCGGATGCACTCTTATTCCTTTGGTTCCTCAATTACAACTATTCTCCATTACAATCTCTTATTTCTCCATTAGTTAATTACCTAATTCTTACATATTTTATATTTAACAATGTTTTATATTAGAGATCAATGTGAAATGGTTAATTATTTCAAATAAAAATAAATAAAGGCACTTTAGAGGAAGCTAATATTGAAAAATAGCCATTTAAGTCCTGTTAGAGAACATCAATGAGAATAAAACCTACATTATATTAAAAATTGCTTAATTTTACACTGATATAATGAATTTAATCAAAATTGTTAGAGGCGTTTTCGAAAAAATAGTAAAAATGGGTTTAGTCGATGATATAAAGTGCCACTTCCGGTTAGCTGATTTTGACATAAAAAGTTGCGGTAATATTCCTAGCATATAAAAACCTTAAATATGCAATTTCACTTTCCTGCAACTTTTCGTTTTTGAACTAGACTGTTAACACACACAAACACAGATCATTTTACGGTACTTGGTTATTTGGACTCAGAGGACCTCAAAACGTGAAAACTGTTGAAAACTGATATTCGAAAATTTTCACGATCGCAATAGTTTCCTTTACTATAAATATATTTCATATATAGGTAAGTGAAAGTAAAAAGTTATGACAAAAATGTCTTCTATTGATTTTGAAACGTTCTTCCAAGAAAATATATCATCAGTTTATTGCAAAGAGTCACAAAGTACATTTTTGATGGAGTTGAACTTTATAGAAAGGTTTTGTGAATTATCACCCTATTTATCTATTTAAAAAAAAAAAAATTTCTATTAACTTGGTTATTGAAAAATATTACTATCTGTCTCAAAGGACATTTATAATAGTGTTCAGAGATCACATTCACACTCTAAAATTGTGTGAATAAAACTGTCAAAATAAATTATACAGAGAAATAATATTATATACAATAAATAAGAATAAAATAAGCTAATACTAAATAAATAAAAAAGAACACATACATAAAAAAATAATAATAAATAAGTGTATTAAAATGACACAAACCCTATTGTATATCAAATATAGGTACAACAATTGCACAATGTCCTGATTTCATATCGGGAAAATTCATCAAAGTTCTCTTAGTGATTTAAGATTATAAAGTGTGGCTTTTTGAATAAACCAATGATATAACTCTTCAAATTTAATAAATTTATTTATTAGGATTTTTCTTTATTTGGTTGGTCCAAGGCCATTCCATTTAACTCTTATACTGAATCCTTTTATTTATATACAATGAAAAATGTTTCTACCAGTACATTTTATTTTCACGTATCACCGTTATTGATTAATGATTTTTACAGTAGTCCTAATTTAATGTTAAACATTTTGTCATAATATAAAGGGAGATATTATGCATTTTTCAACAAATGTTTATTATTTTTCTATCCTTATTTGTTAAAAAAAAATAATAATATTGCTGTAATTGCATAAATTTTTTTGAACTAGTATGTATGTTATTAGAAGTATTTTGTGTAAGTTTTCATGAAAATCAGTTTAGATTTTCTGGTTTGTTTACTGCATGTTTAAGACAAAGATATTTTTTATTTTTTTATTTCTTTATTGAGTATTACAACAATCTGTCTCTTGGACATTGGTTATAGTGAGGTAGGATGACATTCACACTATATATACAAAAAAAATAAAATAAATAGAAACAAAATAATAATCAAAAGTGAGACAAAGATATAACATTTTTTGTTTTTATTTTTCAATGTAAGCAAGGCCAAGATTTACAAGAAAAACTCTTAACTGAACTTTCAAATAAAATTGAACTTACAGTTTTTTTTTTTTCAATAAGAATGTCAATGCATGTTTCTTATTAAAATTTAAAATTAATATTTTTTTTTGTAATTTGAAATCAATAAGGTTAAATACTGAACCTTCCAAGTATGAATTAAATAATGAATATTTAATAGTTGACCGTTGCATTATAAAGGAAGGAGATGGTCCGGGGTTGCGGTCATAAATAGGCTAAATAGTGGTAAAACTATTTTATTGAAAGCCGACGTTTTGACCCGACTTTGCAGGTCTTCATCAGGGCTAGAACGGACAAGGTACAAAAAGATAGAGAATTATGGCAGTTACATAATATTTAGACATAATTTATAAACAATGTGAATAAGCTTATTATACCTGCTACCCTTAACCCTTTGCTTTCCAGTTCTAAGTGAAACTCCTAGATGAACATACCTCTAAGTCTCTAATGTTATTCTTCCAATTTTATTTACTTATTTATCTAATTTTGGTTTCCTTTTTCTTTTCTTTCTCCACATTCCTTTATGTCTATTATTTCATATTATATCCTTTTTCCTTTTCTTTCAATCTCTCCAGTAGATTTTGTAGAAGTATATTCACATTTTCATTTATTATATATTACACTACAACAATTGTTAGCATTTAATTACTTCAGTTTAGGATCTTGTTACTCAGCTTACTTTGTTCATATTTTATTGTACTTACTGTTTATAATTGTAATAAGCTTATTCGCATTGTTTATAAATTATGTCTAAATATTATGTAACTGCCATAATTCTCCATCTTTTTGTATCTTGTTCGTTCTAGCCCTGATGAAGACCTGCAAAGTCGGGTCGAAACGTCGGCTTTCAATAAAATAGTTTTACCACTATTTAGCCTATTTATGATCTCAACCCAGGACCATCTGAATTAAATAAATTTGTATGGTATCAATTTTCTATGTTTTAAGTTGTGATCATTTAATATATTTTGATAGTTTACTTACCTTTTTTTTATGTTTACTTATAATATTGGATGATACCTAACGCATACCTATCTATAATCTACCAATTTAATATTTAATGTATTAAATTGGATATTTTCTTTTGAATATATCCTCCATCTTTGTTATTCTCTATTTCTCTCCTTGAATTTAACAGTAGGTATCATGTGAGTAAATGTGGGCTGGCCATTCAATATTGATATGTTTAAAGCTTGACCATATTACCATATTGTTGTTGATCATATTGCTTTGATTTGCTATAGGGGAGAAAACTAATATTCATATTGGTGTTATGTTGAATGTATTATTGTTTTAAAAGAGATACTTCTTGCTTCAGAAATCAACATATAACTTTGTACCCTTTTAAACAAGGTTGCTAACTTACTGTTTATTATAAAATAATATAGTTTACTTACAGTTTTTTGTTGAACCATTGTTGATTTGAATCATATTTCAGGACCTTTGCTGAAGGAATGGTTGAAAAATATTGAAGCAAGTAGAAAAAAAATTCATCTTTATTCTGGGCATGACCTAACTCTTGTCACTCTATTAAGAACTATTGGCGTATCTACTGCAGGCATTACTACTCCTCCCGACTATGGTGCTAGTTTTATTTTAGAAGTACATCACATTTCTGACAAAAGAATTCTGAAGGCAAGTATTATTTATAACTTGCAAAAGTATCTCAGATCAGCAAGTTGTATTGATCAAAGGTGTCTCAATCCACTACAAAAGTGGATTCTAAATCGTGGAGTTGCCTATATCTAATGGACACAATCCTATTTAAAAAATATCCTGTTATCTCCTTTAAAGATATTAAACTTGTATTGGCTATTTCATTTGGTTTAAATTACTTTTATATTAAAATAAACATATAAAAAATGTTTAAAAAAGAGCATCAAATATATCTGTTGACAGTTCTCAAGCAACACTAGTACTTATTTGGTACCTTCTCGTGATTAAATTAGCCTCAATCAAAAACAACCAGTTTTGAGCCAAGCCAAATAACCCATTTACAAGACTGGTGCTTGCCATTCTTTGGCAAATGTATAAACATACCTTATAATTTTTTTTAAGTTATTGAGCAGAAACTAATTGTCTTATATAGTTAATTTATAAATTATATGTATTGGTAATTGCTCATTTATTTTGCTTCAGTACTGTGTAAGAATAGATTTTTGTTTTCAGGCATTCTATTTCAATTCAAACAAAGATTCTGAACCAATAACTCTCTTGCTGCCAAATTGTGAACCAATGTGTACTGTAGAATCGCTAAAGGAAACATTGAAATCATTTATTCCAGATGATTGGGACCATGAATGTAAGATATAAGTACATTCCATGACTAAACATTTTGAGGTTGGTTACTTGTTTTTCCCAATTTAAAATCCTTCATAAAACTATTTCCTCTTTTTTCTCTATTAGACTAATTTTATCATCTATAAATACTTTACAACAGTTTTTTTATTATTTATTGTGCTTTTCAAATTGTATTTTATGGAAAACATTGGTATTATTTTTTTCTAATCATTTCAAAATCCTTTTTTAAAAATTACCGAATATTTTTGAAATGTCAATTATATCTATCTTTATTTCAGGTTTTGCTCAAACTGTTTAAAACCAAGTAGATCTATACGTATATACATCAAACAAATGTAAAGTACCTTTTAATGACTAGAATCTTCCATTGATCTTCCATAACTAAATTTTATGGATAAGAATGAAAAAAAATTAGCAGATGAATTTCTTATAAAAGTGTGTATCTGTTGTATAATACAAGACCATCCAATAACGAAATTACTTTCTCGTTATGATATATTTAAAATTGATAAGAATCTTTGTATGATTTTAAATACCAAAAATATCATTGCTTCAATTTTCTCATTGTTAAAATTTTATTATTGACTATAAAACAAATATCAGTTTAAATTAAAAATTGGATTTGGTTGTTGTATGTTGTTAAACATTTTAGTATTAAAATGTACCACTGGTAATTATAATTTTAACTTTAGGATTTTTTTTATTACACAAAGATAACCTAGGCATATAAATTGAAATATTTTGCTTTGATTTCAACTGTCAATTTCGATCGTTTTCCTGCTACTGTAATTTACAGTATATTGTGTAAATAATTGTGTTTATTGTATTCAATTATGTAATTGTTAATTTGAGACATTTGTTACATTTGAGATTGTTATTGTTACTGTATGATTTGTTTGTTACTGTATTATAATTGCTATACTAAATATTTTTTATATTGTTGATTTTATTTTTTCATATACAATGTATTTGTGATTTCTTGATTCCGTCAAAATTAATATTTTTTTATAATTTTGTTTGTTGTTAGATTATTGAGATCTTTTACTCCAGAGGAGTACTACTGTTTGTCCATGTATTTAATATCTTTCAGTATATGATGAAACATGTATAATATAATTTATTGTAAAAATACTTTGTAATAATAGTTTTATAATTTTTCAAGATATCTGCTCAGTTAGTTTATTTACTTGTTTAACTATATGAAAGAGTAGGAAATTAATGTACCTGTTCATCAAGCCAAATATTTATATTCAGGGTATTTTCTATTACAAATTTGATGAAGTTTACGAATATTTGCATTCCCACCAGAAAAGACCAAAAATTTATGATATTATGTTAAAAACATAAATTATTTTATTAGAGAAATTCTTTTATAATATAATATTTCATAAATATATATATATTATAATTATTTTATTAGAAGCATTTCTCTGTCTGAATTTGTTTGTTTGATTATATTTATTTCATCTGAAGCTTTTTTTATTTCTATTAGTTCCTTGTTATTCTTTGGAAATGTATGTCATTTAATATTCTAACATTCTAAATATTCTATTGTAGATTGTTTCGCAATAGAAAAAATCTGGAGAATCTCTGTGTGTGCATATCAACAGCCTAGCTCAAAAACGTAAGCCTAGAAAGTCTTACGAAACTGAAATTGCGTATTTAAGGTTTGTATATGTTCAGATGTAACACCAACATTTTCATCAAAATTGGCTAACCAAAAGTGGCACTTCATATCATCGATGTAACACATTTTTATGATTTTCTCAAAAACAGATCTAACGATTTTGCTTAAACTCGGTGTATCAACGTATAATTAAGTAGTCTTTAATATTATTTAGGTCATATCTCTATTGATGTCACTTAATAGGGCTTAAATGCCAGGTGTTCAAATTGTCTTTCTCTAAAGTACCTTTAATTTGATTTATTTTAAATAATTAACTATCTCTCATTGTTAAAACTTATGAAAAAAGGCTAAATATAACTTTTGAAAGAATTTGATAATTAAATAAAGGAGAAAAAAAGAAAAATGCTTATCCTGGTTTCAAATAAATCTCTGGAAATAATAGTCAGAAGATATACATATAATATATCGTTGGAAAGTGGAGAATTTTAGAAAAAAAATAATATCTAATAAATAAAGTTATAAAAGGTAACGGAGAGTGATGAATGAAATATAAATAATAATTTCTGAAAACTAACATTATTTAACATAAATTATGTTTCCAAGTAATTTAAATGAAATATTCTTACTAAATATAAACATTTAAATTTTTTTCAAGATTGAAAAAATTATTTCAAATCCACCGCATCGAGGCAATGAAATTGTTAAAAATACTATTTAATTGTACTTGTGTGAAATATAAAAATATTCCATAGATATGTTTATAACCTTAAATACATTTACTGTAGTTTAATAACTCTAGATCTGATATTATATTTACATAATTAGGTATCTATTGTCCGTTTGTTCCGAAAAATCATGTAATTTTTTAGAAAATTAAATTAGTGAATATTTTTATGAACTTTTCCTTTGTGATATCCCAACAGTATCCACTTGCAATTAGTGTGAAAACTTTTGACCTATCTGTGACATGCAATGCAAATCTCATAATTCCATGTTAGTAAACTTCGCAATAGAAAATAACTATTTAATAACTAATAGTTGTAAAATCCGTAATCAACTGATATCTTAAATAGGATTTTTGTTATTTTAATGATTTGTTAGCTGTAAGCATTTAGCTTTAGCTCGGTAAAAAATGCGCTTCAAAAATTTTATAGTCGCCCAACATTGCCAGAAAATAATTTATATTTAAAGTAGAGCGTTAAGTGAAAGTTGTTTGTTGCGTGCACTAGATTTTTATAGATTGTAATTATTGTTGTTTTTAAATTAATATTGGACAAGACAGATAGAATATTATACTTTTTATTAGCTCACATGAAAATATCATTGAAGACTTTACTATTTTATTTATTTGGCCTTAAAGTTTAGTTCCTTCCTACAATTGTTTTGGGGGGAAAAACCTTATCAGTACTCATTAAGCTTATGTTAGTTGAATGAACTTTTGAGACTAACTGGTTCATTAGCCTATATAATACAGAAAGTTTCTTGTAATATAATTATTTCACTCATATCATAACATGGATTGCATTTTTAAGAGTGATGTATATTTTAATTTAATTGATTGTATTAAATTATTATTTGATACAAATTTTTATCTTTTTCTCATGCTACCCTTTTCTCTTTCCTCGAATAAATATATTAAAATATTAGCATTAAAATTATTTATTTATTTTTATTTCTAAGATTTTTTCTTATTAACTTATAAAAATCAAAGAAAACATTTTTAAAAGCACAAATTATTTCAGTCTAAAAAAAAAAGTTGATGCCCAATCAAATCTTCATGTTTTTCTGTTTAAGCCCATAATACATAGGTGATTATATGTGCACAGATTTTTTTTTTAAATAAAGGTTTACAATAAGTCATTACATTACAGAACTATTTTTAAATTAACTCTTTTTTTCCCAAACTGTATTATTAACATTCACTATGAAGATAAACATAGTCTGATTTTATAAATGGTTATATCATATATCATGGTAATGTATCATGATAACATCTGTTCGGAAAGTTTATTTACTTTTTATTTTGAAAATAATTATCAAATTAATTACATTCTCTTATTCATTTTTATTATTTAATCTATGGTAAAATAAGATATACAATATTGTCTTTAGAACTAGTGTTATTTATTTATTAAAAGTAATTTGAGATCCTTCCAAAAACATGTCATCATTGTATCACATTATTTCATTGCAGAACTATATCATCTTCCCTTACCCTGAAGGCAACCCAAAATATGGGGAAACAAATTAATTTATAAATGCATATTAATGTATACATTTAAATATAAGAAAAAAAAATGTTTATAAATATATATAATTAAATTTTAAACATGAATAAAATATTAAATATATGCTTTATTCACTGTGATTCCTTTATTTCGTAAGCATCCAAAATAATGTTATACATTTTTTTTTCTTAGAATAAATTTTATTAATCAAGAATAGTAAAGCAATCAAATAAATAAATTTGATCATATTTTGAGGTAAACAAAAGTAGTTCTAGTATATCATAAAATTTGAATTTTTTGATATAAAGTTGAAACATGATTGAATTTAATTTTATTTTATTGATAAATCAAGATATTCTTTAAAGCATCTATGTGATTTTTACCATTTATTTAGTTCTTGGAAGGCATTTACTATCACATCATATTTAATAAAATATCACAAGGTCAAGGTTGTGGAAAGAGGTAATCAGTGTCTGATTGGTCTGGTACTTATTAAAGAAATTTTTTACTTTTAAATGCTCTATCTCAAAATGGATAACATTGATCATACAGAAGAGCAGTTTCATGCTTACTCTTCAAACTGAAAGTTCTCTTCCAATTATTAAATTACTCTCAAAACACCATGAAGGCTCAGCTATCATATCAGTAAATTATTATAACTAAATAATTTATGATTAATAACAGCTATTGATAAAAATTATGAGGATAGAGCTTTAATGTTTAGCTATTAAAAAACTTTGATTAGTAATTATAAGAGAAAATCCAGTTCCTAAAACTTAGTCCTTAATTAGTTTCTCCAGTAATAGATAACTTTATAGCATTTTCATTACTAATGAGCTGAAAGAGGAAGTGGGCTTGGAAGTTATCTTTAAGATATGCATGTCTCCTGCTGAAATGAGTTAGTGCCATTTGGAAAAATGTTCCGGTTGCTTACACATGGTATAGTTTTGTACTTTATTTTTTTATCCACAAATGTATCGGCAACAAGATATAATTTTGAAATAGAAACAGATTTGGAACAAACGAGACTTCCCAATCCTCTCCCTAGCTTGGTTTCTAATCTTCTTTCCAACAATGAAGCTGCTGATGCAATTGCTATGGCTCCTTTGAATAGTCATGCATCTACTTCCGATGTGTCAACTATTAGATTTATAGCTGTTGTGAGTATATAATCGTTATGCCGAAAGGCATATATAAAAATATTTAAAAAATAAAAGATTGTATAAGTCATAACCTCAACAGTAACTGTTAAGCAGACCTGGACAAAATATATTTTAAATATTATTTTAAAATACCATTCATTTTGTGTTTTTAAAATGAAATGTATTTTAATTACAAAGAACTTAAATTGTTTCCAAAAAATGTATTTCAATGTTCTAAAAGTATTTTGTATTTTAATTACAAAAAAGTAAAATACTAAATACTTTCCAGTGGACAATCTGCATGTAATACAGAGAACCTACTCTATTTGGTAATTTATTTTGTGTATTTAAAATACAAAATTAATCACTTTTTTATATTTTAATAACTTGGAAATAAAATACAAATACTTTTTGCTTAATTCTTTCGAATATCTAATATTAGGACTAACTAAAACATTAATTTTGAATACCTTTCATTCTTGGTTTGTTGCGTACATTGATATATTTTATATTATTTATACAAATTACATTTCTAATCTAATAATTATCTCTGATCTCAGGTTAGTTTTTGTTGGAATCTGTTTTAGATAACACGCCATGGAAGCAGATCCCCAACAGCAACCTATCCAAAAGACCCTTACCCATACACAAATCCTAAATTTTGGCCAGATGGCCCGGGGCAACTTACTAGGGTAAGAAATTCAAACCATATTACATTTTAAAATGTTGGATTTATGATTTTCATTTTATCGCTCACTTTTCATTGAATTTTTCATCGAGAATGTACATAACTGAAATTAATCGATTATTTTTTTAGCAAACCGAAAATTAAAACTTTACATCCTTGAAGTTACATCATTTCTCCAATCAAATGGTTTGTACTCCATGCCTTATTTTTCTTTTGGATGCTCTTAACCATGGACCTTAGCTAAAAATTCATTTCCTTTTTTAGTATCATTTTAGGTTGACACAACCAATATATATTGGACAAATATGTTATTCATTTCTATTCAATTTCTAAACTGTATTTGATTACATTGCTACTTGTATTGGAAATTATTTATTTATTCATTCACATTTTTTCAGTTTGGTAAACAGCAATTATATGCGACAGGGCAGACACTAAGGATGAGATATAATGGTTTCTTAAATGTCAATTATTTTCCCAATGACAACATAATACGCTCTAATAGGTAATTTTATTAGTTAATTTAATGTAATAAAATAACAAGAATGGAAACTTTTTAGATTTGGAAAAAAAAAAAATTAGTATCTGTAATGACTTATCATTCTAAAAATATTATTCAGATGTTATGGTATCCCATACAAAAATTAAGTTTTTTTTCTCATATCTGAAAACTTCATTTGCAAAATATAAGAGAAAACAATTAAATTCACCAACTTTCATTGGTCTCAGGCAGATTAACAATAAATAATAAATTATTTAATGAAAGAGTTAAGATCTATTATGAAACAATGATGATTTTAGGTACGACCGAGATTTTATGAGCGCTGCTTGTCTCTTGGCTGGTCTTTACCCTCCAGCTGGTTACCAGCTTTGGAATCCAGCTATTTTATGGCAGCCGATACCAATCTGGGAAGAACTATTTGATGTAGCTGAGGTATATCATAAAATTCATAAATTATTTAAATTTATGGATTTTAAAAAATGTTTATGGTATAGCATTTCTTTAATGTTTTAGTAGTAAAAACAGGTGAACATAGAAATATTTAAATACTTCCATTCTTAAATCTTTCCTTTATGATTGTAACCAGTCATTGCTTGTACATATTTTTAAAGTATCAGGAAGTTTTTTCTAGACCTGAAATTATTTTTTGAAGGTGTTGTTAGCTAGTATCAAGACTATGATTATAGCCAAACATACTAATGTTTTCATGATACAATAGAGTGCCAACACATGCAGTAAGCCAAGCCTAAATCAAGAGACTTTTTACCACAGGTTATTTTATATATATATTTTTTACAATTGACCTGCACTGTTAAATAATGATATTAAAATATTAACCAGCACTGAATTTTACTTTCTCTCTGTTTGTCATTATTTTTTCAATTTTTTTCCTCGCTCTTCCATTGCTTTCAAGCGTTGAGCCATGATAGCAGAATTAGTGTACTCTACTAAGCTTGGTCAAAACTAGGTTTCTTAACTCATCGTTCACTGGCCTCATTGCTCATACCTTTTGGTTAATTTTCTAAACATATAAGTGAAATTCAGTGCGCTGAAGTGAAAACATTTATACGAAGGTGGAGAAATTAATATATAAGGTCGTGGTAGAAAGCATCAACTTCTAGGTTTCTGAAACACAGCGGTTTGAAAAAGCACAAGCTAAAAGATTCCTCCAGCTGTGGAGATGGATTTTTAGAAGAGGTCGACTAGAGTCTCAAGGTGGCAGCAAGTGAGAAATAGGACTATTAGTGAAAGAATGGAAGTAAGAAAAAATGAACTGGATGTAATAGAAGATTGAAATAGTATGGTCATGTTAAAAGAATAGATAGTGAATGACTTCCCAAAATAGCATTTGATCGAAGGTAGGAGAAGGAGAGAAAGCTATTAGCAGAGAGGAGTGGACTAATCCTCCGACTTAGGGAGGAATTTGGCTGAGGGAAAATTATGAAGAAAATACCCTAAAATAAAAAAAATGAAAATATTAACTATATTTCCTAAATCACCCAAAAAATCCATCACAGCTCCTAAGATTATGTGATTCCATTCCCCGAATAACCTGTCAGCTTCTAGTTTACTGCCACATTCTTTCCCTCTTGATTCTGGATGCCCAGTTTATGGAAGACTGGTGAGCATGAAATGAAAAGATTAATGGATTGTTTGATGAAATTTATTTTATATGCTCTATGACACTCTCATATTTCTCATAGATATTCAGAGAAAGGCTGATTATTTCTTAATTTACAAAGACAATACCTCCTTGTTAGCTTCCTATTCCAATCCTCGAGAACAAAAAAAATATTCTATATTTTTGACCTTATCACTCTCCGTTCTTCTTACCACCACTTAAATGCCACTCAATACGAGATCTCAACTTTCCAATTTAAGAACAGATTTCTGTAAAAAATTCTTTTTGGTTCAACCTACCTCATTTTGAATTTCTCTAAGCTCTCTCAATAATCTCATACAAACACCATCTATTTTTCTTCTCCTGAACCACCAATCTTCTGCAATATGTAAAGAAGAAATCTTCATACAAGTTGGTGTAAAAATGTGTTTAAATATCTCCTAAATCTGTATTCATTCTAATTATTATTTTCTTTAATTTTTAATAGTATTTCATTTGCTAACTTTGCTGATTGGAATTTTTTTTCATTTTATTCATTAAATTTTCTTTAATTTATAATTTAAATTAATTTTTATCAATTCAGTAAGACAAGTGCTATTTTAATGTACATTTTTGTTATTTTCATGGGTCTAAATATCTCAGGATAACAATTAACTTTTATTCTTCTTAAAATAAAACAGTTTCAATGATTCTCAAGTGATTAAATTAAGTTCTATTTTTTAGCATATATATAATATGCAGTTGTTTAGTTTTTCAATCCATTTTTTTTATTTTTCAGTTGGCAGAAAAAGCTGGGCAGTGCCCTACATATGCTGCCGAGCAGAAAAAAGCAATAACAGAACTTAATCGTCACAGTGGAAGGTACAAAAAACTTTTCAGTTACTTATCGAAACATATGGGAAAGAAGATTACGCACATAACGAGCATTATAGATGTATGGGATGTTCTACAATTACAGGTTTGTTTAGTAAAAGTTCTAAAACAATAATAAAATATTATATTATTATTCTTATCTCCATTTTACTACTCCTGAAATATGTTATATTTAAATAATTTTAAAAATAAAATAAAAAGTACTTCCTGAATTTGTCATACTATATACTCACTGCAGTTAAAATTGCTGTTAATACCATACGTTTTAATTTATCAAATTTAACTCTAATCACTTCATAGCCAGTCCATACATCTAATCATTATTAACTCTACACCAATCACTCATTATCTTCAAAAGTCAATATGGTCAACTCAGTTCTTTAGAGGAAAATAAGACCAGTTTATCAACAGTAAAAAAGATGTGTAGTTTCAGAAGGATATATATTTTATTTTTTTATTACAAAAAAACGATGATACAATTAATTTATAGGAATGAGATTTTTTTTTTTAAATTACACATTAATTATCATTAATTTCAGATGGAAAATGGTTATAAACTACCACAATGGACCAAGTCTGTATTTCCTGAAAAAATCGCTCGCCTTTACGCTATTTCTTTCAATACAGTTGTATCTGGTACTCCAGAAATGATCAGACTTACAGCAGGTAACTTATATCTTAAATTATATTATACATCTTAGATTTTATAAAACATTATGTTAATTAAATATTATAACTTTTTTTTCCTAGACATACCTTACCTTTGAATTAGTGAAATACTGCAATCTTAAGTAGGAGCCCAATATTTATAAAGTTTAAAAAAAAATACTTTAAGGGAAGTTGTAATAAAACACATTCAATTTTAAAGTCAATATTGATGAAATCAGATATAATAACAATAAATGTATTGAAGATTACATCACTGTTTCATAGTTAAGAATTCGATCAATTGATTTAATTTTATATTTATACCGGTATTGGCACTAGTAAAGGTTTAGTTAAAACAAATCTTTATAATAATACATATTAATTTTTACACTATAAATGTATTCATGTAATATTCATTATTTAAAGACTGGAAAATGTTAGATGACCCAAAAAAAATTTTTGGATGCTTTAAATTTTAGTATTCATTTATAGGTTATTATACGTTAATATGATATTTTGAATAAAACACAATTAAAAATTACATTAAACAATTTCATGAACAAGTAAAATTTGTATGGAAAACACCAAAGTACTCAAGGAAAAATTATTTTTATTAACTGTTGGTTATTTATCATCTGGATTTTCAAGTAATATAAATGTTATTGCAGGTCCAGTCATGAAAATGGTTAACCAGCAATTGGTTAAGAAAGCTAGTGGAAAAATGAAGCCTGATAGACTTTTATTTATTGAAGCAGCTCATGATACAACTCTTCAAGCTCTTCTGTCTTCTCTTGGCTACGAAGATCCTTTCCCGATTGAAACCTCTGCATTTATGGTTTTCGAACTTCATGAATCAACTGAAGGTCATACAGTGCAGGTAAGATACATTTAATAACAAATTTTTAAAGTGAAAAAAAAAAAAGAACGGTATGTCCATAGCCAAAATTAAAATTTTGTAATTAATTTTTAGATTGCTCATTCCCTGTTCTTATGCTAATAACACAGTCATTTAGGATCTATTAAACATTTAGGCACTTATACATTATATTCCTAAATAATCTTGTTTTAATAATCTCTAAAAATAATAGGTAACAAATGATTTGTCACTCCCCCTCCATCTCCAGTTTTGGCAAACAAAGTTTTCAGCAGCAGTAGAGTAGTGCAAATGGAATTTTGCACATGCCACTACCACCAACAAAAGCTCTCTTTGTTTCATTGTTGTTTATTAATACATAAATTACCACTGTTAGAAATCAGAAGGTGATAATTTAACCATAACATTCAGTGAGATTGAGGTTCAAACTTAATGTTTGCTTATCCAGGATCTCTATTCAATTTTTAATAATGATTATAGTTATGATGTGAGTGCTTTAGGTCCAATGTTGCCATACATGAATGAAAATTCTTCTGTAATAAATGGCACTACATAACCTAGCCGAGTTTTCGTGGTGTGACATACTGCATGATGGAATGGCTTCTGGAATAATTGAAGCTGCATTCAGGCTTTTTTTCTGTACTTGTTGGTCTAAGACTTCCATTGAAGTCCTATACTGAAGCCTGGTATATAATAGTACCTAATACCTGATTATTACTGATTCTCTGTCAAATTTTATTTCATTCTGGTAATTTTATTATTTATTATTTTTTACCTACCAGGCCATTTCTAGCATATAGGGTTGTTATCCTATGGGTAACTAAGCTATTCTGGTTAAAGTGAAAAGGTTAATATTCAACAGTCGGTATGTTGAAAGGTCAATATGTGTTAAGGTCAGTATTAAGCCCTGAAACCTGGTCAGATCAGAATCAAACCAATGCTGTTTCTAACTCAAGATTGCTAAGGTGACACTTTAACACACTTGGCAACCACGGTCTCAAAGCATTATACCTTTGTCTTCCATTCCTTGTGGGTGAGTATACTGAAGGCATGGCTCACAGTTAGCTGGGATGATAATAGCCAAACCACAACCACTGTCCTAACACTAGGTTTCAATTTAACTAGTATTTTATCATGTCCGAATATTATTAGATTTGCAAATATATGCGCAACAACCATTTATGTTTGGGAAATTGATTGTGTTTTGCCTAAAACTAAGGCCAACATGTTGGGAAATAGAAAATAAATAATTTTTAACGTACTTCATTAACTGCTATCTCAACCGACTCCTGTTATTATGTATCTACAATCATTTCTTCATGACCAGATTTACATTTTAATGTTAACGTCTTATAAGCAGTGCTGCATGACAAAGCCAAGGACTAAATTTAATATTTTTTTTATTATGATTACCAATTTAATTTTTTGTTGTAAAATACAATGTGGAGGCCCAGTATTTAATAAATACCAATGTAACTAACACTTGACAATATAATTTTATCAAAGACAACAGCCTTCTTCATAAAGAATTCAGTAACACTAGAACACTAATTCATTTATTGACTAATTGGAACCAAACTAACACACTTTTCAATAGTATTCTTAGCAACTAATAACTGTTTACTTCCAGTCTTGCAAGATTTAAATAATCTGTGGAAGACGTTAAGCTAGGCCAGGCCACTCTCTCCAATATCATTGGTATAGTAGTGATAATAGTAGTAGTGATTCTAGACTATTAGTGATTTTACAAGTAACATCAATAGCTTTTAATATTTCACAACCCCCAAGTCCATTACAAAACTAATTTTAACAAATCATAATTATAAGTTAAAAGCTAATGTTCCATCTACAAAATCACTACATTATATTAATTTAAAAATTTATATTAATTAATTTTAACTTTAGGTTTTGTACTACAATAGCAGTGCTCACATAATACCTAATGTTTTGGATCCTCCAAATTGCCGTAAGCCTTGCTCTTTAACTGCATTCTCAAAATTTGTGAACAGCATAGCTCCTTCCAACTGGGAAGCTGAATGCAACAACTCTACTTCTGATTCTGACCAGTGAATATTAATTTAAGATATGAAACCTGAAGAGTGATATCAGGTTTATTCATGCAAAATAACATGTTATCATCATGCAATTCTCGCAGTTCGACTTCTTTCGTGACACTTATGTTTGGATAATTTAAAAATTATAACTTTAAAGAAAGAAGGATTTTTTGATCTGTGTTTTTTTTTAGTCTAATAGTTAAGGGTTACTAACTTAAAAGTAATTAAACTTCTGATGATAATTTTGAGTTGTGCCCTTTTTACTGTGGATTAAAAAAAAAAGACTTTTTATTATATATTAATTTTTTTTAATTAGTGATTAGTTGGAAGTAGCAATTACATGTATTTTTAAGGATGTATTAGATAGTTATTTTTATTTTGTATGAAACTGCTTCCTTTTTTCTAAACAAATCTATTACTGAGGAAACATAAATATATAATAGATCTGATAAGATTAAATGAAAAATAATTATATTAATTGTAATTACTAAATATTTATCTTATATTTGTAGAAGACTAGACAATAATGGTTTCATCTAAAAAAAATGTGAATATTGGAAAATTAAATAAATTGTATAAAAAAATATTTCAAATCAACTAATTATTTGTAAACATGAAATTTGTGCACATTGCTACAAAATATTAGCATTATTATTGTAAATTGTTAAAAATTTAAATTTATAAGCCTATAATTTATTTGTCTAGTCTAATTTTATAGCATCAATTGTTACTAATATTAAATACTTGAGATTCTATTTTGTATTAAATTCACATCAAATTTTTATAATAAATAATTTAAATAAACAAAACTGTTTAAATTTTTATTCCCTTTTCCCATTAAAACTTCTTTTCTTGATTTTCTTAAATTTATTATTGAACATGTTATGTGCCTATCACCCTTGACAAGCACCTAACACTATTCCACCACAGCCAGAAGATCAATCTGGTGAAGACCAAGTCTTACAGACTAAACCATCTGTTGATTTCAGCTAATCTATTCCTCTGTCTCCAAATAATTAATTTACAAAAGTGTTTTAAGACCGGTCCTTCTTCAAGGAGTGTTGATGTTATTAAATATATCAGCATCAATGGTAACTAAGCTCCAGAAGTTTCAGAATCTATCCCCAGAAAATTAAGATTTTGAAGATTTCAATAATTCATCTTTGGGACTAAGAAAAAAAAAATTTGGTGTATCCACTAACACGACATTCCTACCAATTTTAGACAAATTTATATAACTTTAAATATGACCATTAAAAAAAAAAAATTGAAACAGAATAATTTTCCTTAAAACTGGTCGGAGAAATGATAAAATTACGATTTCTTTGACGAATTAAAGCAATATAATTGGAAATGTGAACCATCATTAAAATCAGCTTCTAAAATTCAATACACTGTAACTTAATTTACCGCGAATTGTAAATTTTACCCAATCTCAATACTTTCCTTATGTAGAAGCAATATGAAAGTAAAAAAAAAAATTGAGCATATTGCTATCTTTTATTAAATTACATTCTATAATATGAGGAAATATTTTAGAATTCTTAAAGTAAACAAGAGCAAAAACAAAAATTAAAGAAAGATGTGAAAATAGGAACAGTTATATTTTAAAAAACAAAAACAAGGAGTTATTTAATTTTTAATTATTAGTAAAAATATGTCATAAGAAAGGCATGAAAAATTACAGAAATATAAAATAATAATTCCAATTTACTACTATTTACTTGAACCAAGTAATAAGAATGGACTAGGTATTGTTAATAACAACTTTTATTTAATTTAATGTTACAAAAAATAATAAATAGTTACAAAAAATTCACTAAACCAGAACTAAGAGCGTTAAGTAAAATAATAGTTAAACTTCTATACATAAAATGGTAGTATTTTTAAATTTCCTTGGCACTTCAGTATTTAAAATAAATAATACAATTTCAATTTTCAATCAAAACATTAATAAATTAAATGTTTTATTTTTTAAGAGTACCACCAACAATCATTTAATAAATGTACATTACTGTTCAAAATGTTTCAAGGATTACGTCATCATTGAAAAAAAAATTAACAATGTCACTCATAAAATTAATCTAGGCTTGCCTTTCGTCATAGAGAAAGGTTCATATAAGTACATGATTGTTATTTGTTTTGTTTTTTACAAAAACTTACGTCCTTTATTAGCTAGCTAAAAAATTGACTTTGTTTTTTTAATAGTAGTACTAATCATAAAAAAAATCTAAGAGTATATTAACATTTCTTTTAAAATAAATTCAGTCAGGAATTACTTCTTTCCTAAAAGTAAAATAGTAATAAATTTTATTAATAATATTTAATTTTACATGACTTTTAGGAATTCATTGGGAAATAGCCCTTCAGGGTCTAAATATATAGCTATTTTATACATAATCTATCCTTATAGGTCATAGCTATAGTCTTTGGTTCATTAGAGGCTTCGGAATTACTTTATTTTCCTTCAAAATGAGCAGCAATCACTTTTCATTCCTTTCAATACTCATTCATTCCTATATAAATGAAATTCTTTTATTTTAGAATCAAAAGATGTCTGAAAAAAAAATTATAATAATATAGTTACCAAGCTAGGACTCAACCCAGATTAAAAATGTTACCATATCTATAGAATTTAAAAGTATATTCAAATGCAATACCTAGTCAGGATCTTGATAATTATCAATTAAATATCCTTTTATGAATGGTAATCCAGTAGGAACTTTCTTTTGATATTCTATATAGTCATCTCCAAAAAATGAAAGTAATGTTAATTCTTCAATAATTATCCTGTCATTAAAAAATTTCCAACTTGCTAGTGTGTAGGCCAAGATGCAAATAGGATTAACCAAAATTATCTGAAATAAAAAAAATCCAGTTATTTATTTATTTAAGATATATTTTAAATTATATTTCTGTTTCAACTGAAAATTCGGAAAAATACCCCTGACCATATGAAAAATTAAGACTAAGTATTATGGCAAACTAAACAAAATAATATTAAAAAAAAAAAATAGAAGAAATTTATTAAATAAATGAGAGCAGTAATAGTTCTCACGGAGCAATACAATTTAATAAGTAACAAATTGAATTAATACACAAGTTAAACTATTTTGTTAGTAATAAAGAATTTAAAACAAAAACCTATTTCCTTTTAATTTTAGGTAATTAAAAAATGCCTTAATATGTACATGTGTGGACTACAAATTTTACCTGAGTAGCTATTGCCCAGTAAAACCAGCCGACATAACTTGGATGCCTCGTCCAAGCATAAACACCGGTCGTCACAAGTTTGTGATCTGGTTTACGCTTGTTTTGGACAATATGAGTAAATCCTGAGCGGGCTTGTATGATGGCCGTTTTTCGAAGAACTTCTCCAGCAATGCATGTCAACAGCCCACAGGCTGACACCCACCAGGTTAATTTTAAATCTAGAATTTACAAAATAATCACAGGTAAATAACTAAATATTATTTAGTAAGTATTTAATTAAATATTTTAAACCACACCGGCAATAGTTTATACAAGTAATACAAACATGCAACAGTTACCAAAACTGCTACTGCCACTTATTATTAGGAATAGAGCAGTTTTTTTTTTAATGGTATGGCAGTGGTTGACAGTGGATTCTTATTTAAGAAAAAATTAGTCGGGGGTATGATCAAAAATACTATATTATATAATAGAATATTTTATTACATTGTCCAAAGTTTCGACCTAGGTCTTCTTCAAGGCATTTTGTCTGGCACTGTTGAAGGTAGTAAGGCGAAGGTAGTTGAGTCGCCTTACTACCTTCAACAGAGCCAGACAGAATGACCTGAAGAAGACCTGCAATGTAGGTCGAAAGGATGGACAATGTAATAAAATATACTATTATACAATATAGTATTTTTTACTGTACCCCCGACTAATTTCTTCTGAGGTTGTTCTTTTGAATTGAACAATACGTCAATTAAATTGATAGTTAATTTTCTATAATGAGTGTCTCCTGATATAAGACAAACACATGAAAATTCTATGTTAGAATATCTAAATTAAGAGTCTTGATGTCAAGATGTTGAAACAATTTATAAAAGTCTCAAATCTAGTTCTGCACAAATGTTTTCAATGAACATGAAATACACATACAAATAAACCAATATATAAAGAACCAAAGAGAATTAATAAATAAGGAATAACAGAATGCAGTAAAATCTTATTTTCTTATCATGGGTGATAAATATTAAGAACGCAGTATTTTTTTTAAAAAAATTAAATTTTTTATTTATGCTAACGTTTCAACCCAAACATGTGGATCATCTTCAGGGCGTACTCTACTGTACTTGAACACCCTCTGTGCTCAAACCACGCCCTGAAGATGACCCACATGTTTGGGTTGAAGAGTTGGCATAAATAAAAAATAGAAATTTTTTTTTAAAAAGACTGCGTCATGAATATTTATCACCCATGATATGTAGAACAGTCGACTAACTTCCTTCAAGAATTCTTATTTTCTTGCATCAAACTATAAAATTTGCATTTCCAACATTTTTAAATTTAACAATCATATACTTAAGCTCTTAATACTCAAGTTATACAGCCAAGCCTCTCAGTCCTTTCTTCTTTATATCAATTCATAAAGAATACATTTTGACTCTGGATTTCTCAAGCCTCTGAATTAATTATTGGTAAGAGAATTCGAGATAACCCTAAAGCCTCCCATTAGGTGAGCTACCTCAATTTTTTTTTTCATACATATAGCAAATCTCTTAATTACTACCCGAGCAATTCGTAATACTTGTCTGAGTCTGTCCTTTCTAATACAATCGCTTCTTGATTTCCCTAATACTCTTCATAACTCTCATATTTTCTGATTTATTCTAATAGGCTATAAGTTTTAAAATGGTCACATTTCAGGAATCCATAAATACGAAATGAATGGCCCAGGTAAACAGTACTAACTCTGAACAAATCACAAAATATTCAAGCAACTTTTCTTTCTTATAATCCAATATAACAAGAATTAAAATGGATATTTGAAAATGATTTTGACAAATGTTTAAAAATTCTTCTAGATACTAAATTGTGGTTTGATTCAATTAAGGATAAAGCTGCTTTAAGCTGAACAAAGTTTTAGTGTCTATACTAATTGAATATCAAAAGTGAATCATATGTTCATCCTATACCTGAGTGCTTTCTTTCAATCGATAAAGGAAAATGAATTTTTAAAGCTTTACTATATTTAATAGAAGGCCTGTGCGAATAATTCACAATGAATATTGGTCAGTGAACAAATAGGTAATTAGAAATTTTAAAAATTCAAAATATCATGAAAAGGAATCATTTACTATTTTTGCGGTAATTGTAATCGACCAAGGAAAAAAAAAATTATTATAACAATTCATTTATGTTTGTATCATATCAAATATCTGATAATGTCGAAACAGCTGGTAAATGGTCACAATTTGATGATTTTTTTTAAAGGTAATTTTGTAATCAAATAATCATGGGTACAAACAACAACAAAAAATATATACTTTTTTCAGGATGGCTACCAAACAGTTGAAGTGAAACTCCCTGACATTTCCCTATTTAACGATAATTTTTCCTGACCAGTATGTCTGGGGACACAAATATTAAAAATGTATAATTTATAACTAAATTTATTTATTATACCTGAAAGAAAATTGACTACAGAACGACTTGAGTAAAAAAAATCAGTCTTTTAAATCACAAATATAATGTTTTAGAGGATGCAGTTTTTAAGCTTGATTGGGATGTTTTATTTTAGAAAATTAAACTTTTAGTAATTTATTTTCATACACTGAGAGGAGGTAAACGTTGATATTTGACATATAAAGCTCAGATTTTATCAATGAGCTATGGAGAATTTTAATATTAATATAGTTTCGCAGAAGTAATTAAATTTCTTTATTACTATAAAAGCATAATAATTATCCATATTACACCAACTGTGACATTTCTGGTTAATAATGCTCCTTTCAGGAGGACCACGGATCGAATGAATGAGTGCTTCAAAGCCAGATCTTGACTCAGATGTATCCATTATAAATCTGATCCATTAGTAAATAGTATTGGTGTGCTTTTCTTTTCAAAAAAGCAATATTTTAATTCAATTTTGCTTAAATTTAATTCATTACCCCAGTTGAATTTCAATATAACGACTGAGCCGTTGTTGACAGTCAAAGATGGACGAATATAGCAACCATGGTTGTTTATAACGATGAATTTTACCCTTTCAAGGTCATTATAAATGATATTCACTGTATATTTATTTCCAATTTGAAAAAAATATTTACATAATAAAAAAATTCCCTGACTTTTCCCATTTTTCCAAATTTTCCAGGTCGGTCATCACCCTGTTTTTTAGTTATTTGTAAATAAAGTTTCTTTTCCTTCATCACTTTTTTTTCTGAAATATCAGGGAGATGTGACAATTTTTCTACCTGAAGAAGAAGTATATCTTCAAAATGAGGGCTCAATCATTGGATTTGATGAAGATATGGCAAACTGATAAAAAAAACACCTTTGAGAAATAATATATAAAGATATTTATTTTATTTTACTAAAAATAAAATTAGTATTATTCAGGATTTTATGATTTTTATTAAAAAACACATTTCTTTACAGAAACATTCTCCCAAAAATGAGACCTATTACACTAAAAATATACTGAACTAAATAAATAAATTAGCACTTACTTCATATAATTAGTCAAAATTAATAATTTCTACCTCATTTGATTTGTTTAAACTTACCTGGATAGAAGTAGCGTTCAACAAAAAACTCTATCCAGCTGGCTAGAGCTGCAATTTGATAATCTACTGAATGATTCAATATATATGATTTGACTGATAATGTTTCTGGATTGGAAATAGCAATAGCCAAAAATTCTGAATAATGAAAAAATGTTAAGACAGATAAGTACCTAAAATATAAAGATGAAAATGATTAAAAGTTCAAATGCAACATATATTTTTGTGGAATAATACTATAAACATTCTAAAATGATTTTTCTTAAATATTATTTATCTGATTTTTTTTTTAACTTGTGATAGATTTATTTGAATAGTAACGACATAATCTGCCAAATAAGAATAAAACATAAGTAAAAATATATACATTGAAAGAAATAGAAAAATACTTGTAAAAAGGGAGAAAAAAAAATACACTTTAAAAATTAAAAGAACAGAAAAGAGAAAAATATTACTTGTCACACATTCATTGGTTATTTAATTGAATTAGCAGCTCAAAATACTTGAGCAGCCTTGCATTTGTTTTTTTTTTTTTCGTGGTTCTTTTTCTTTGTATTACAAGAAAACACTTTGATATGTACTATTCAATTAATGGTCCTGAAATTTTTAGTGATTATATAAAGATAGTTGGACTTCAGGTAGGTGGAAATACTCTATTGCTTCTGCAAAAAAGCAGAATTTGATTGCAGAGTCATATAAGGAGGATTGATTATGTCAGGAATACAACACTATAAAACAAACTTTCTAAATAATTCAAATTTATTATTACAGTAAACAACTTAACAAGATATTTTTAAGATGATAGGTAATTCATACATGAGTATAACTGAATAGAGATCCAACTGCTTTTGGTACTGATATTAGTGAGATGAAACTAATCTAGTAAGTGAGCATTTTGCTCATCCCTAATGGTTACCATAGAAGTTGTCGTCTGCTAACAAAGGGGAAGTGTCAGCATTCATTTTTCAGGTTGTCACGAAATACATATTAACAGACTCAGGTAGGAATCGAACCAACAAAGTTTCAAACCAGGCATTCTGAGAATGTCACATCAACATGTAAGGCCATTGCATTTTCTAACAGCCAAATAGAGACTAAAGTTGAAAGGTATCGAATAGACAATAAAATCAATATAAGAAAATCTATTAATAAAAATTACAATCCATTTTTATTTTTAAAATTTACTTTTATTCCATCAAAAATTGAAAGAAAAAAAATCATGAGAATTTGGACATAAATGGATCAGTAAAGGAAGTTTCAAAAACATCTATTGATATGTATTATAATTACCTTACTACATTAAGTTTACAATTAATAGGCTTTTAAAAAATCATGTTTTGACCAATAAGCTCAATATTGTCATTACAAAGAAAAAAAATCTAAAACATGAATCATGACACTTTTAAATCATCCAAATAAATAACTATAAAAGAGTTGTAATTTTTATCCTTTAGCATTCTTATTAATTTAAATTTGCAATGCCCACTTACATAACTTCAAGGGTCTATTGGCAATATTAAATAACATTCATTATTAGCTTCTATAATTTTAATTTAAAATACTGATTTAGGTTTCAGAGAACCCTCTCCATCTTCAGGATCTAACTTCTTGTTCTATATTACATAAAATTAAATCCATATGTTTAGGGTCACTTAATTTTTAATATTATACATATTTTTTCTCATAAAAGGTTTACTAGCCTGAACTTATCATACTTAGTCCTACTAAGTATAATAATATAATATACCATTCCATTATTATAATCTACATGCTACATGAAAAGATACAAAAGCAACCTGCATAAACAAATTAGAACAAATGAGAAGTTTATAAAAATAAATGAGAAGTTTTTCATAATTTCTAGCTTAAAAAGAAATGAAATCTAAAAGTTAACAATGTGGTTTGGAAGAGCAGTAATTCAGCTATTCAAGGGCTGTACTAACGCTGAATTTCGAGAAAATTCTGAGTCGTGAATGCTTTAGTTATCGGCCTAAATAAAGAATATCTAAGAAAATCAAGTATTAAAATTTGCAACTTTTGATTTTTATAAACAATTGTATTTGTTTCAAAAATTTACTTGGCCCACTTTAGTAAAAGCACTTTTAGGTTTTTGTGAAATTATAATACAATATTATAGCTCAATCAATATTTTCTCTTATTTTGCACAAAAAAAATTAATCAATTAATATATAATAACCTAAAAATCTGGGAAATGCAAAGGCAAATAGATACATTTTTTTTAACTTATATTAATCCCCCAATTCGTATGGCCCATTACAACAACCACTGGGACGTGACTTAATATTTTTCGATGTAGTATCACTAAAAAAAATTGGTTGAATTCAGTGATCCACCGACTGTAAGCATGCTCATGTGAATAACAAAACTAGAAAACATAAACAAGGTTCAATCCTTAAAATAAAAAATCAAATATTCCATCAAAACTATAACTCTTACCATCCAAAAACTTTGTATGAATCAGGAGCAAGAAATGCAACTAGAATACCAATAGAAAAAAAGCTTCCAAGAAGAAGAGCTCGGACCCCAACCTACAATTAATAAATTTTATATTACTATATGTTAATCAATTACTTAAGCATTTAAAGAATAAGTAATAATTCATAAAATTAATCAATAATCAAGATTTCACAGAGAATCACCATTACTAATCAAGACATTTTAACGAGTTTCATAAGTAAATAAATGATGCCAAGACAGAAACTCAAAAAAGGTTGTTTCTAAAATATACATCTATCCTTTAAACTAAAAAGCCAAATAATTGACAGGAATTCAGGTGTGAATTTCGTATAATTAGAAACCAGTCAGTAAACCATGTATTTTTTTTTTATTATTATTATTTATAATGTCAGATATCATTTTTATTAAAAGCATGATGGTTTAAATTGAAAGCTTAAATTCTACATATATTCTTTACCATAAGATCATTGGATATTATGCCAATAATAGAAAACTTCTACTAAAATTTATAACTTTAACTGAGCAACACAAATAGAACCAAACATAAAATGATAACAGAATAAATGAAAAAATTGCAATCAATTTATTAGGCTAAGAGCATTACAATACCATTAAAACGAATATTATTACCTCATAAAGAAAATCTTTTAAAAATATTCTTAATATGACGTTCAGTAGAATAAAATAGGCAAAGGAAAGATATGTAGTTTCAAGAATTAAATTTTGGGCTATGAATATTTGAAGAACATATCGAAGAAGTAAGAAATTCAAACTGAATATGGGTGAAATGAAACATAATAGACTTAATTTTCCTGCGTAAACAATAGACATTTTAAAAACAAATTTAAAGTTGATTGATTAATACTTGTTACATTTTGTTTACAAATGAAATATGGATGATCGCAAACGGATAGTTCATCGAAGGAAAAAGGATTTCTTTATTTTAGAGATAATTTGTATTTCTAGATTTGAGGTTCATTGTTATATGTCAAGAAAATAGTAGAGTCTATTACTTATAACATTTCGTATCGCTCAGGGTGTTAATATAAAAAATATTTCCCTATATTAACACCTGGTATTCCTTTATTATACTACAACTGTAAGTAAAGCCCATCCCAACTTCTCCATTTTTCCGTTCTATTTCGGCTCCCAAAACCTTCTTCTGTCCGACCATCAATTTGTGGTCGCACAGTAGACGGACTTAATTATTAACTTGCCCTATAACCTTGTTCAGGTCCTAGGCATCCTTAATAAGCTTCCTCTCTTATTCTATTTTGGGTAGCCCTTTTCTCGTACCAAGATGGGAAGGTCGAGATTCAATCCCTGGATCCGCCACAAAATAAATTTCAACCCGCTCAGGCCAGATTCGAACCGGCCTCGCTAGATACTAGAACGCTAAAACGGACAACGCATTAACATGATGGGTCATCATGACTTCTGTTTTCTAGTTACTTACGAACAAAAGATTTTCGATCACCTGCCAACGATTTCGCTCAATTTTGGTTTGGATATTCTCTCTTCTTGTGTTATGTAGCTCATCTCTATATACTAGGCTTGGGAACTCGGTATCTTAAACGGTTATCTTAGAGCGAGAGTCATTCAAATACAGATAGGAACCTTCTAGCGGTCCAGAAAGAATCTGGGGTCTCCAGTTTTGGGAAAAACTGTGGAGAGGTACTATGAGAGTGATAACCGTTCTCTGGTAAGCCTCAAAACTAGTAGGAGGACAATAAAAAAGATGAGTGAGAAGGAAGTGCCAATGTCAGTTGCTTAGCACATTATTAATTAGTTGGCATAAGAGAGCATTAGCTCTGGTAATATTTTGCAGAAATTACGTGCGTATTTTGATAAAAACGCCATTCTGCGTTAAACACAATAATTTTTCAATGAAACATACTCTCTAGATACGCCATCAGAGTATTATTTAGGCAGATAAAGTATAGCAGATAAAAGCTGTACGAATACAGCCTATGAGGGTTCAGTACTATGTGAAGAAGTACTGTTACAAGGCCAACGGTTATGCAGGGAGGTGATTGGACCGAGAAGACGCTCAACAGTCAGGTTTTCCTCTTAATTAATTATTTAATTAACGGTACACACTTTATGCAGGCTGAGGATGGGTGTGCCCCAGGAGGATTTCCCGACCCCAGGGTTGATCCACGGCTGATGAAAAATTACTATTCATTAGCGGGGATTTGAACCTGGGAAATTGAGCTTTGGATTCCAGAACTCACCCATTGAGCTATCCCGCTCCCATTTAAACAGAAAACCATATTGATCGTTCTTTTGTTGGAGTCTCTTCACAAACAAAAAACATTAATGCAGTGTACTACTGAGCTCTATTGGACTAAACGAGAGTTCTATATCACCACAAAACACGGAAACCACTCGGTAAAATTTTTTTTTTATATATTGAAGTGATGAAAAAGCTTCCAATCTGAAGGAGATAATATGTCAATAAGATGGTCAATTTAGAAAAATTATATATCTTTGGTTAAACATTTGGTAATTATAATATTTTTTCAAGCTCTATGAGAGAATGGTCTTAGCCCGGTTGCAGATATATTTAGATAGAGAAAATAAGATGTCGTCAAAGGAAGTAGGTTTCCGAAGGCACCGATGTACAACTGATCAGGTGGCTCGTTTTAGTGAGGATGTAAAAGATGGATTCCTACGGAAACAGCATACACTTGCAGTATATGTTGATTTTAAAGCTGCTTTCGACAAAGTCTGCAGTAAAGTCCTTCTGAAAAAGCTTCTCAAAATGAATATTAGTGGGAAAATGTACACAATGGCGTGATTTCTCCAAGTAAGACACAATGGCTGGTTTTCAAGTTTCAGATCTTTTAGACAGGAACTTCCCCAAGGATCTGCTCTGAGCCCCACACTTTTTAATATAATGATACATGATTTAGTGGCTGTGCTCGAGACCCGAAATATCTGCTCTATTGTTTGCTGATGATGTACTAATATATGCTACTAGTAGCAGCATAACAGCACTCGAAGCAGCAATTAATGAGGCAATGACAAGACTTTTTACGTGGACCATATCAAATGAAATGGAAGTGAACACCCAGAAAACTGACTTTAAACTGTTCACGTTATCAACCAAAGTGCACGAGCTGGAAGTCATTTATAATAATGCTCCCTTGCCAAGAACTTATGCAGGCAAATACCTGGGTGTTAGGCTAGACACCAATATGAATTGGAACAGCCAAATTGAAGATTTAGTGGAAAAGGGAGTAAAAAGGCTTAAAATTTTAAAACGGCTTGGAGGAAACACATGGGGAGCCATCCAGGATGTGATGGGTCTTGCATATAAAACCTATGAACGCCCCATACTGGAATACGGTTCTGAAGTCATCTGTACTGCGGCTGATGCATCCCTGAAAAGACTAGACAGCCTGCAGAACAAAGCACTGCGTTTAATTTTGGGTGCACCGCGCTCAAGTCCTATTGCAGCTATGGAGCTGCAGACCACAGTAGAATCTCGAAACGGCGTGAGCAAGCTGCAATGTGTCTTCACGAGCGAATGAGAAAAACGAATCCAGAGTTTTGGAAAAAATACAAAATCTCAGTTAAATGGCTCAAGACCCAAAAATCTTTCATGCTAAAGGCGAAGGCTTGGCTTGAATAAAGAGGGCTGTGCAGAAAGGGATCCATTTCTATAGGCACAGTTCCCAATCCACAACCACGCAAGCAGGGCAGAGCTGCAACTCCTCCATATGGTGAATAAAAAAGAAACAACAGACTATGAGCTAAAAGCGATAGCACTGGAAACTATAGCTCAAAAGTACCCTAATCAGGATTGGCTTCACATTTATACCGATGGATCAGCTGAATCAGCCGTTAAAAATGCTGGGGCAGGAGTTTACTCGAGAGAGTTTCAGTTCAGTGCTGCGATGGGTGAGGATGGTACAAATTTTGACGGTGAGATAGCAGCGATCCTCATAGCTCTAAGAACACTAGGACGACAAGATCATCAGGACGATAAGTTCAGAGCGTTGTTCTCTTTGTCGACTCGATAGTAGCAATCCTCGCTATTACTGACGTGAATAAATGTCTGTCGAGAGCTATCTTGGCGTGCAAATCCCATATCTACGATCTAACACTCCGAGGCACCAATGTGGTCCTACAGTGGATTCCGAGCCATTGCGGTATTCCAGGAAATGAGAAAGCGGATAGTCTCGCCACGAGAGGAGCAGAATTGTCTCAAACAGTCCATCCAAAATCTTACGATTCAATTCGACGAATGGTGAGGATGGCAGTGAGAAGGAGGGAACAAAAAATATGCACAAAGACAAGGTGGAAGGGGAACTTTATAGATGTTTGGTGGAAAACCCGATCCCAGCAGACCTATCAAGAAGAGATGCAGTAGCCTGCTTCCGCCTGGTCACTGGTCATGGTCATGGTGAACAAGCGAAAATGGATGCAGACCACATAAACAAATGTCCTACTTTGACGGATATTAGGAATAAAACATGTGTAAATGATTATATAAAAAAATCAAACTTATACTGGGCAGAGATAGAGATAGAGATAGAGAGGGGCGGCCCGTGCGCCGTCGGCCTCGTGCGCTCTCCCCCGGCCTTGTGATATGTACAAGAGTTCATGTCGACACCGCGTGGAGTCGACGTGGCTCTCGCAGAATTTTTTTTTTTTACAAGTCCGGAGGGGGGGTGCGCAGGCACCGCTACTCTGGACTTTTTAGATGTCTGATGGTCGAATGACCAATGACTATGGCATAAGAAAAAAAAAATTCAAAAATAAAGCTCCCCGTTTATATTTGAATGACCTCCGTATGATTATATGTATTGTTTGGATATACGAGACATATAGTATTTTATTGTTCATATTAGTTTAAAGAGGAATCTTTGTGAAAAGTTAGGTATTTAGTTTTGTTTTTTAATTTCTAGGTCTGAAGCGTGATTTTTTTCATCAACATTTTTAATTTCCTTCGTTTGACTAATTAGCCTCGGAGTAATTCTGTAAAAAGCAAACTTTCATCTGTTACTCTAATGTTTTAAAATTAATATTTTCTTTAATTAGTTAGTTCTTGGTACACATTTCGCTGTCAATGTTATTTTTAAAAATTCGTAGGGACTGCTTGAAAAGAAACAGAATAACTGAAACTTAAATATAACGCTTTGTTACTAATAAAGAATCAAGATGAGAACAAAAAATTATAACCTTATAATACCCTACTTCTAATATACTATTTAAGAATGCTGTATACAAAACGATACCTCCAAATGCAAATAATTAAAAAAAAAAAAGAAATTGGATCCGGTAATAACTTGAGCAATCATCCCAAAGAACAGGTTCTTAACTTAAGTTGCGACAGTAATTGACCAACAACTATTCGACAGAGACAGTCTCATCGACAGAATCAGTCTCCTATATGTTAGAAACTATAAAATAAGTTAAAATTAGGACTTGATTTGTATCTATGCCCATTTTAGGAATGTTTTCAGGCATGCCTAATATTGTAAAAAGATGAGACTACAAATGTTGGGAAAAATTCTTAAATAAAGTTTGTACAAAATTTTGCCACTTCGGAAAGCTGATCCATGTATGTATATTTTGATTTTTTAGCATAAAAAGAAAATCTTTTTGGTTTAGTTGAAACTAAAAAAGAAATGTGTGCTAAAATAAATGTAAATATAAATTAAGGTTTATATTGTTAAAGTCACAGAGATCGCGAGATCTTTTAAGATCCATTTAGACATTTCACTAACTATGGAACAAACAAATATACAAATGGTTATTTTACTGTGCTAGTATTTTTGTTGTTTTTGGAAATTTCCATATGACGGCGGTATCAAGAGAAATAAAGTAAATAGTTTGATTTAGCAATAATGTCGCTGTTGGTTAAGTTAGATAATTGTATTTCCCATAGTTTGTGAAATATCTAAACGCACCTTAAGGTTCTTATAAGTTTTATTATTGTTATTGGTTGGTTATTGAAACTGTTACATATTTACATCTAAATCGTGACTGGTGGGCGGTTACCGTTTGTTGCACACGTTAAGGAGATAAAGAAACTTTTTTCGAGTAATATTCATATTTAAATAAACCAAAGAAACTTATTATTAAAACTAGAGGATGCAGTTTTATTTTGTAAACAATTACTAAATATATTCTAATGAAATACGCCATAACTACAATATATAAAAACAATATTGCATATATGCATACGTAATGTTCACGAGATGGCAATATAGATATCTGGATAATAAGATGGAAGATATGGATTTAAAATTATTGAAAGAAAAGATCAGAAATAAATAGCTTTAAAAAACACTTTCCTTGCATTAATGTGCGATTAAGCATCTAGGACTCATCTTCGTGAAGGAACTTCGCTGTAGTCTTTCGAAGTATTCAATCTTACTCGTTTGAGAACGCTTAAGAACGTTACGAGAGGGGAGAGTTCAAAGTTTGAAGTTGTAACGGTTTTTCTAATGATTATTGTATACCTTCAGATATATGAATTTCTAATATAAAAAATTAATGACTGTGCCAAAACTGTGAAATATTTGTTTTTGTTCTTATCACAATAAAAAGTGTATATAAAATTTAGTATGAATCCTGGGTAAGTACTATTTGTATACTTTCATAAGTACATGACTTTTGAAGCAATATTTGTTTATATCTGCATCAAAACATTATAATCATTTTTAGTAATATAAGAAAAATGAAAAATAAACTATTGCATTTTAATAAATACCTTTAAAGCTAATAGTAAAAAATTAAATAATTTACCACTAAGATTTAATAAAGCTTGTCATATTTAATATACTTGTTTTAAATAAGTATAATGTACTCACTATTCTATTTTAAATAACAACGAATTAGTTGTGAATTAAAATAAAATAATAAGATTCAAGATTTAGAAAATGTATTTAATTAAAAAAACAAAAATCATTGCAAAATCGAAAAATATATAGGCAACTTATATGTTATGAAACATATATTTTTCTTAATTGAATGAGTTTATTTTGAGATTTATTAATCTTTTTAGTTACTATTTATGAAGTGATAAAAATAAACAAGCCAATATTGGTAAATATTTAAAGTTTCTGCTTACTTATAAATAAATGAAAAATAAGGATCAAAGATCACTTTTCTATTCCCAGAATTCATTCTGAATGTTATTTACTTTAAATCATTGCATATGTAAGTTGGTTTTAATTTTTCTTAACTGATTAAAATAAAATGGAATTTTAAAAATATCCCTATTTTTAATTAAGCAGTAGCATTTTTAATGCACTATTAACAAGGGCATACAATATAAAGTAGATATTCAAGAAACCATTATTATGACCATACATCCTCAGTTTGAAAGTTATCACAATTGAGGAATATGGAAATAGCTTATGTATAAGTTTAACAAAAAATTGTTTTGTATAAATTTATTCAAATGTTTTGTTAAAAAATGTCCCTTGTTATGAAAAATTGATCTCAAAATGTCACTTTGAATAAAGAAAGAAATAGTAATTAAATTTACAACATTTTTTAAACTTTGGCATACAAAAATTAATAATTTAAGTGAGAAATTTGCATTAGTTTAAGTACAAAATTGCTGAGGTATAATAAAAAAATTATGTAATTTATAAAATATAAAAAATATATTGTTATTTTGTATTACAGTCGAAATAGAATGCAGAACAAAAACAGCAGGCAGAAAAATGGACCAAAAGAATCAATGGAGGTCTGTTGTAGAGTTAGACCAGTGCCTAGTCAAAATACTGAATTGTGTTTGAAAGTTGAACCGCCTTCTACTGTCATCTTGGCTCCACCGCCTTCTTACATAAATCTTAGAAATGCACCTACTAAAGAAATGCATTATACTTTTAAAAAAGTATTTCAAGAACAAATCAGTCAGAAAGAAGTATTTGAGTCAGTTGCCCTGCCTTTAATAGAAAATCTATTAAATGCAAAAAATAGTTTGCTTTTTACCTATGGAGTTACTGGCAGTGGAAAAACTCATACTATGATTGGTTCTGGAAAGGATGGTGGTATTATGCCACGATGTATTGATACAATTTTTAACAGTATCGGCATGTACAAAACTAACAAATATGTATTTAAGCCTGATAAATTAAATGGTTTTGACATACAGAGTGAAAGTGAGGCTATAATTGAAATGCAGCAAGAAATTATTTGTCAAACGCCTGCTAAAATCAAGAATCCCAAACTGTAATTATATCAAGATTTCAAATCATATTTATATTTTGTGATTATTTTTTATTTCTTAAAACAATTAATAGATTTTTTTTTTTCATTTTTGTAGGGAAAGGAATAATTCTGACCAAGATTTGTTTAAAAGGATTCCTACGGAAACAAAGATCACTAATATTGATATTGATAATGCATATGCTGTATTTGTAACATTCGTTGAAATATACAATAATAGTGTTTATGATCTACTTGAAGAATGCCCTGATGATGGGTTTCGTCAAAGGTACTTTTATATCAATTTTATATTTATTCATTTTTAATTTTTGAATGTTATAGCTTGAACATGAATAAATAATTTCCATTACTGATTTAACTACCTTTTTGCTTTGAATTCAAGTTAGACAACGAAGATAGTAGTAACTTACTCCTATTTACTTTCCAATTATAAAGTTTTTTTTAAAATTTTATATTTTATAGTAATTATGTTGTAAAGGTTTGTTTATATAAATATTAGAATAAAAAATATTTTACTTTTTAGAGGTCCACAAGTTAAAATTATTCGAGAAGATGCAGACCACAACATGTTTGTTCATGGTGTGAATGAAGTTGAAGTTTCTTCAGCTGATGAAGCATTTGAGGCGTTTTATAAGGGGCAAAAAAGGAGGAGAATAGCTCATACCACCCTTAATGCTGAATCAAGCCGAGCTCATACCATATTTACTATTCGAGTCGTGCAAGTGCGTAGAAATATTTGTATTACTTTCATTTAAATTCTCTAATGATAACAAGTAAATTGATTACTCAATCAATATGTATTATATACATGTTTCATAAGATACATTTTCGGGATCCCCAGGCGTTCACATGTTTCCCTCTGGTACACTGAGTTGAAGTTGCTTTATCCTACTTCCCGACGACAATTCCTCCTTGGTGTTTTCCTCTTCCAAGTTTTCAGAACCAAAAACCCTCCCTACATCCTGGAACTCCTTACTCTACACTCCTCTATCCACTCTCTCAATACTAGGTCTCAACCTATAGACTTATATATTCCCTCCCATAAAACTTTCTCCTTCAGCAAATCCTTCGTCATTCGTGCTGCTTCCTTATGAAACTCACTTCCTACCTCTATGCGTCAATCCTCGTCCACAAAGTCCTTCAAACAACTCCTGTTCCACCAGCTACTCCACATTCAAACTTCCCCTAATATGTAAAATTACTTGCATCTATACAGTGTTTAATTTCAATCTATTGCACAATTGAAATAACAATTAACAGTAAATTTGTTTGTATTTTTATTATGTCAGACTAAGACCCATAAATTTGTAACTCTATTATTATTCTTAGGGGACAGTAGCCCCAGAATAAAATTATTTTTTCATTGAAATAACACATTTCTTAAAGTTTATTTTATTAGACAGATATAGTTTTAAGGATTATTGTTCTCTCAATCTTTTTACTTTTCTAGGTGATATTTAAATTTAGTTTATTGCTGAATTTAATACCAGAAAAATAAAATAACACGTTATTAAAAAAAAAAATTTGATTTAAATTAGATTTTAAAAAGCCCTTGCCATACAATTAAAAGTGTTATTATATGTTTTTTCTTTTAACTTCCAGGCTCCCGTTGATCAGCAGGGACAAAGTATTGTTCAAGATAAAAAATATTTACAAATTGGCCAGTTATCACTTGTTGATTTGGCAGGTAGTGAACGGACTAACAGGACTAAGAACACTGGGCAGAGACTTAGAGAAGCTGGTAATTTTTATTTTGTCTTTTACTTATATTTTTCTGTCTCCAAAGTATTAATTCTCTATTTAAAAACAATTTTCTTATTGTACCGAGAATTTACTGATACATAACAATAACTTCAAAAAATGGTAGTTTATTGGTGTTGCTAATATTAAATAAAATAAATAAACAAAAATGTCATTTACCGTAAAGAACAAATTTATGTCTATACTATAAAGAATTAATTGAGGAAAGTAATGTGTACAGGTAAAACGTGGGAGCAATTGTTGTAATTTATTTCTGTCGAGAAAATAAATCAATAAAACAGTTTTCATTTAATTATGAATTAAAAATTATTTAAATAATTAAAATAAAATCACAGCTTAATTTATTTTTAAAAATATTATGACAGCAAAGATAGAAGATATTAATAGAAAAAAAAATTTTAATTATGTAACATTTTGATTACCCGATTTTTGCGCGATTAACTGATAAAGATTTAAATTTTTTATTTGAATGTCATGTTTAATACAATGCTATTTTAGAAGTACATATATAATAATACTGTTATTATTTAAGAACTAGAAAGTTATATGATGTTCAATGAAGTGGCATTTAATTTTAAAATAACTGGCATGATTATAGTTCTCGAAATGTTGGCAAAATATAGTTGTGTATTCACTGACTAAACCTCAAGATCTTAGAAAAATAAAATAAAATGGTAATAAGTTTTTGGTTTTATTTTATTATGTATAAGATATTTTGCCTGTCATGGGATGGTAACATGCAAAAATATAAACCAAGACATATGTGATATTATTTTATATATCTTTTTGCTTTGCTTAATTAGTATTTAAAAAATTGTAGATTTCATTCATAATTTAAAATAAACATCTACCAATAAAACCTATTTTTTCAAATGGTAAATAATTAAGTTAAAATTATTTCTACTCCTCTGAGGCGTCTGAAAAGAAGATGGCCTCGAGATCTCCTCATGTAGACAAATTATTAGAGTGCTACCAATGGGTAGTTTCTCAACTTACTTGATGTATTCATACTAATACAGTTGTAAATATCATAATAAAAGTTTAAAAAAAAAAAATTATTTCTTAGTTGCAAATAGATCATTTTTACTTTAACTTTTTAGGTAATATCAATAATTCTTTGATGACCTTGAGGAACTGTTTAGAATTACTCCGTGAAAATCAAAAAGGTGCGAATAAAATGATTCCTTACAGGGACTCAAGACTAACTCACTTATTTAAAACATATTTTGAAGGTGAGGGCCAAGTTTGTATGATAGTTTGTGTGAACCCACAAGGTGATGATTATGACGAAAACCTGGTTAGTATATTCATCTTAATATTTTACTTAATATTATTATATTTAAAAGTATATCTTAAAGAAAAAAGAAGTCCTTTATATTATTTTCCTAAAGACATAAAAAGTGGTTATCACTTACATTTTGACCATTCTTTTCTGATACTCGCAAAGCAATGTTTAGAGTAGTCACCAAATTGTTCAGATGCAAAGATACTATTAAGTATTTAACATGGGTGATTAATATTCAGGACGTATTTTAAGGACACAGTCATTATAAAAATGTTTTATTTGTGCCGATGTTTCAACCCAAACATGTGGACCATCATCAGGGCTGAAAATTTTAAAATACAATCAAAAATTATACGTCAAAAGAGGGAAGGAGGAAAGTAATGTTTACCCCCTCTGACTATGTTTACCTACCTTTTGCTATTTGAAAAAGGACAACTGGGGAATCCTTTCACTTACCTACCAAGTGTGTCAGTACTTGAAAGCCTTCCGTGCTCGAACCACGATTAGTAAGAGAAATTTTTAAAAATGGATTATATATATTACTTTTAGTTTGTAAACTTTTTACATATTTCATTTTTAATATTGTGTATCGTAATAATAGTTAAGATTTATGCAACATCAATCACTATAGTTTATTATTTACCATTATCGGAAGTATAATATTATAGCTCTGATTGTATTTTAAAATTGTCAGCTCTGATTATGACCCACATGTTTCGGTTGAAACATCGGCACAAATAAAAAAAATTTATAATGACTGCGTCCTGAATATTTATCACCCATGATATGTAGAACAGTCGACTTACAAAAGCTTCCTTCAATATTCATTAAGCATTTAAGTATTAATATACTATTGTCAGTACTAATAAAGAGAATTTCCCTTTTACCAGAATCACTTTAAGAATTAATAGTTCCTCCAATAAAATAGTATAAATCTATTCCTCAAGAATCCATTCATAAAATAGGAAACAAGAAAGACCATGAAAATAAGAAGAAATAATACTATTGTATTTGCTTTTTAGAGCTTATTTTGTTTGAATTAAATTTCTAATTTGTTTAAATTTCCAATCATTTTATGACTTAATTAATATGGTTCTGTTGTTTTGTGTTGTATTCTAGGAATATTAATTGTTAATTGATTAAAACCTGAAAACAAATATATTCGCTGCTTGTTTTTCCTTTGTATAGTTGCAATTCTTTTTTCTTGTTTTGATCTTTTAGTGATTTAAGGCTTGGACAGAGTTCTATTTAAAGAAATATATTTTGCTGTATAATTTAGTTTTTAAGGGAGTAATTAATTTCTCTCAGTAATGTTTTGCTTTCTCTCAATTGCTAATTCATTTCTTAATGTTTTTTTATAGCAAGTAATGAAATTTGCCGAAATAAGCCAAGAGGTGCAAATAGCATTTCCTCCGACGACACCTAGAGTTAATCATGGTTTTACTCCTGGAAGAAGAAGGGCTAATAATGTAATGTTATTATTTTAAATTGTATTATATTTTCTATTTACTCTAAAAACTTGAAGTAACAAAATTTTTATTTTATTTTTTTTATAGGCATTAAAGAAATTTGAAATAGAATATGATAAAGAAAATCAAGAGATTCCTCCTTCGGGCAATGGGCTTCACAAAAAACCTGTTGAAATGTAATTATTCTTTTATTTACCTTACGAATTCCAGATAACTCTAGATTTTTATACATTTTTTTAAATTAGATGAACTATTTAATTTAAATACATAGTTGAACATAAAGTTATGTTCATCCTATATATTTTTTTAAGGTAGTTTGACTAAATATAATTAGAGTTATAAAATTATTTTTTTATTTAGGTATTAGAAATAAATATTTTAGCTCTCTTGTAGTTTTGCAGATATACCTTCATTGCGTTATGTCTCTATGGATGATGATTTATCTGTCAAGAAAGCGAAAGAATTTCTTGAAAATCAATTGCAGTTATATAATAGCGTGACTGGAAATATTAGAGAAAGGTGTAAGTATTTATACAGTATTGATTTATTTCTGCTTTTTATAATTTATACACTATTAATAATTATTTTATTTAATTCTTTATAATTTTCTTACAGATCATGATTTTCGAGAAATGATTTTGAAGACAGAAAGGACAGCTTTTACAGCATCTCAAGAAATTGAATCAATAAAATCTTTATATGAAAGAGAAAAAGAGAGGGTATTTCTTGTGTTAATTATTTCAACATCATATATCACAACAAATTTCAATTTTCAGTTTTATTTCCATTACTAAACAGTTGATCAGCTATAATTTATAATATTAAGTTAAATAATACAACTTAACTTGACCTTATTTCCATTGGATATCATATTTGGATACCTCTCTTCTATTTAAGGTTTTGTAAGTTCAATTGGTGCATGATCACAAAAATTAAAATTAGTTGTTTGAAAGCCAGAAAAATCTCCATCTTTCCTAGAAACCAATATCTCATTTATGATGATATTGAATTATGTTTTTAGTTTATTAAATGTTTTAGTTCCTTCCACGTCAACATCCTGTCTTCTCATTTTGTTTTCAGATTTTTAAACAATTGGTGGTGTTGAATAACTTTCAGTTCACTGACAGACCCTTGAGAATTGATTAATCCCAAACTAGGATTTATTTTTTTTTTTGTTTAGTCTAAAACCTTATTTTACTTAATTTTGTGTAAAATCTTAGTAAGAAAAATAAAATTTTTGTACTATTCTAAATTCTTGGTCCTTCTGTGGTTAACATTAAGTGGAAGATTGCCCTGTTTTTATCCTATTTCACGAAAAATGACAAATTAACCAATGTTCTGATTTAGTGAAGCTAATATACATTTTTATTATATTTATTTAATTGTATATATATATTGTTATGTATTGTATTATTTCAGTTATTTATTTATTTATGAAATTAATATTTTTTTTCAGAACTCTGACCTTGAATCAAGAGTTAAGAACTCTGATTCTCAAATGTGTTCTTTAAAGAGAAAAATTGATGAATATGAATTAAATGTGAAACGGCTAAAGAGAGAGGTAGTGTAGATGAAACGTTCTATATTATATTCTATGTTCTTTATTATATTATTTTTTATTTCACATAAAAAAAAATCATACTAATTTGTATAATTAACTTTACAGCTCTCAGAAAAGGATATGCATATTCATAAAACTAAGATAAATACAGAAAAGGTGAAAGAACAATATAACAGCAAAATCGCTCAAACTCAAGAAAAGTTGAAAACTGAAATAGAAAGAAGACTTCGGAGTCAGAAATCAGCCATGGAGGTATATATTAAAATTTTGTATAAAATATTCAATTGACGTACCAAAAATTAAATTAAAAAAGAACAAAAACAGCAACCTATTTCTAATTGACATTTTTAACATAGCTCAATTTGGAGCGTAGTACACATCTTTTGGCTAAAGACTTGTTAATATTCAATTTAAAGATGGCTTATTTTTAGAAAAACATAGTCCACCCCTATCCAAATCTTTTGATATATTTTATTGATACATTAATAATAATAAGTTCTATAACTAATCAATGTTTTTAATTAGTTTGAGGCAAGGAGTAGAGATAGGAAACTAAGAGAAGCAAAGCGTGTTTTGTCTGATGAAGCCCTTCGATCTATTCCTTCAACACCTTCGGCTGCAATGGAGCGGTCTAAGTATACGGTATCTACACCTTCAGTAAGACCACCATCTCCAAATTTTAGATCTACTGGAAGGAAGGTAACCATTATAAATACTCTATATTTTATTTTATTTTTTACCACTTTTTATGATTCCTCTTGTTTTTCAAGTATTTTTTTTCCTCCCTAAGTTGGATAGTATTATTAAATTTGAGTTCATAGATATGATATTAAAAACTTCATATGTTTAATGCTAAAAAAAAATAATTTAATATTGACTTTATTTATAATTTTTATTATCAGCACAATTAAATTGTTCCCCTCGCCCCACCCGAAATAAAAATAAAAGGTGGTGCTATGTGTAAAGTTAATAAACCTTAATTACTTTAATTATATTTGATAAATACAAACTTAAAACAATTAATATAAATTTTGGTAATTGGCAGTATGTATTGGTTTATCAACTGAAAAAAAAAATCCTGATGCGGTGCGCGCATCACACAACTTTCACTTGCCACCCACTTAGTAGCAGAAATGAGTATTTTGAGACAAAGGGAAAGTGAAAGTAAAAATTATAAACGCTGTATTGATTTATATTTCATTTTGGGTATTTTTATTTGTATAAGTACTCTTATATATATATATATATATATATATATATATAAAAATTTTAATATTTGTATTACTGTAATCTATACAATTAAATATTAAATAATACCAACAATAGTATTTATGAAAACCACATATGTATATTTACAAAATATTGTCGGAGTTCTTATTATATTAAGTAGTGTCGGCGTTAAGCAGTCGGCATCTCCCGGGCAAGTTATCTTCTTCCTCTCTCCTATAAAAATTAAATTTACTAAGCTATTTATATTATGTAATATTTGAATTGTATTTCATTTAACATTTATCTCATGCAGTTGCTTTTTTTTTTTTTTTTTTTTTTTTTCTGTCCTCCCCTTCCTCGCCTTTAAGGCTATACGGGGGTTTTCCCAGGCCAGGGAGTGTGGGCGAGGATTTAAAAACTCCTCCGGGCACCGGGACGCGAACTCGTGACTATTTTTTTAATCAAATCTCATGTATCAGGTTGCCGGGCAACAGCGGTGCAGTGCACACATGTTAGCCCATTCGGCCACCTAGCCCACAAATACAGTTGCTTTATTGAAAGGCTAAAATAAATTATTTTAATACATTTTTTAAAATTTGTAGCAAGTGAAGAGCGCACCTGATGATCTGTAGACGTCCCATCCAAAGGCCGGGACTGATATCAAGCTCATGTTACTTATGGAAGTCTATTCTAATCTTTCAGACGAGCTCGGCTACGCTCATATTTCTTTGGTTCCTCAGTTACAACTATTCTCTGTTACAATCTTTTATTTCTCCTTTAGTTAATTATCAAACTCTTTCTTATTTCATATTTAACTATCTTTTATATTAGAGATTATTGTGAAATGGTCAATTGTTTTAAATAAAAAAAATTAAAGGTACTTTAGGGGAAGCTAATATTGAAAATTAGCCATTTAAGTCTTGTTAGAGAACATCAATCAGAATAAAACCTACATTTTATTTAAAACTGTTTAATTTTACACTGATGTAATGAATTTAATCAAAATCGTTAGAGCTGTTTTCGAGATAATTGTAAAAATGTGTTTAGTCCATGATATAAAGTGCCACTTTTGGTTAGCCGATTTTGATGGAAAAGTTGTTGTAGCATTCCAAGCATATAAAAATCTTAAATATGCAATTTCACTTTCGTTTTTGACTAGACTGTTAGGACACACACAGACCATTTTGCTGGACTTGGTTATTTCAACTCAGAGGACCTCAAAACATGTATTTACGTTGAAAACTCAGATAAAAAAATTTCCATGATCGCAATACTTTCCATTACTATATATTTCATATATATAGGTAAGTGAAAGTAAATATTCCATTTGGTTTCCTTGTAAATATGGATTTTCTGTTCTCTAACAAAAAAAATAGACGTTATTAACCACAATTATTAAAAGTCGTTAGCTTTTTGTCACTCTCCTCTAGAATCTATTCTATTTATTATACCCTCAAAACCTGAATCGTAATTTTTTATCACCACGTACTTTCTCTAACTATATATTTCACATATATGTTAGTGAAAGTAACAATAAAATATTTATTCTCAACTTATATAATTAAAGCTTAACTTATATAATAATAAAATAATTAAAGCTGATCTGGAAAAAATTTTAAATTAATAATTTAAAATTCATTGATATTTACTCTAAACTCTCTGTTACTGGCATTATGTCTTTTGGGAAATTCCTTCATTTGCCATTATTATTTCTATCCAATTACTTACTAATCTATTTAATTTAAAACCATAGATTTTATTTACTTGTTGAAATCATATATTTTTTTTATTCTTTTGCTGTTGAATTCTTGTTCATGTCTGTAATATTTAATTGTTGATATAAGATGAAAGTAAGTTTACACAAATCAATCCATTTCAGTTAGTGAACGCTAGGAGAGCTCGTCGTTCTCGCTCATTGGAAACATGGCTTGAGCACCGTCCACCAGCACCACTACCTTTGGCTACAATTCTTCAGCCTGTTTTGACAAAAAGAAAATCAGTTAGCAAATTGACCGATGCCAAGGACATGGTTTCAGGTGGAGTTGATAAGTATTGTCTTGTAACACAAGGTCAAGACTCTGACGGAGATCTTGAAGCACGGATTTATAAGGTACTTTATTTTTAATTAATAAATATAGGTGGTCCTTAAATCAGGACAAAAATAATTCAAAATTTTCTTTGGGGAGCCTATTTATTAGTTACTTGAATCTACTCTGCTATAAAGAATTACTGTAATTTTTTTAAGAAAGAGGTTATGTCCTATTACTAAGGAAAATTTATTAATAAAAATTGTTATTTTATAAATATAAAAAGGAAAAGTAATTAATAAAATAGTAGGTCAGATAGTACAGCATCTCAAGGCATTTAAGTTGATTTATTAGAATCTGGATTCTTGCTTCTGATTTTCTTTATCAATAAGTACTGTTCCTTTTCTTCACTTTTTTCTTTCATTTACAATTACTTACAATGAACTACTTATTACTTTGCTCTTCTTAAAAGGTTCAGTTTCTTTTCGATCAGTTTGATCTTTTTAAAAGAACTGTGATATTAGAAATGTCTTTGAAAAGCCTAATGGTGTTACTACAAACAAAATTTTGCAAGGTTTTTTTTTTTTAAAATGGGATATGGATCAATTAGGACATGTTTCAACGAAAATCCGTATTTTTTCTCTTAATTTTTTAATGAACTGCATCATCACAAAATTCTTTTCTTATAGTTTTTATTGACATTTCTCGTTTTACCAAATCACTCTTTTTATTTCTGAGCAAGCAGAAATATTTATCTTCTTTAATTTTTATCATGTTAAAAACAACTAACAGTATGACCAATATCAAAAAGGTCTCTTCTAATCCTATTTTTCACTTTTAGCTTTCATAGTACTTAGCTTTATTTTTCTTTGCTTCTACTTTTACCTATTGAAGGTAGGGAAGCATTATATTTTCAATATAATAGGAATAGTGGCCGTTTCCCAAACCAACATATTAAAAAAATATATTTGCTGCAATATGTTAATTATATAACTTAAATAAGTTGTATTTTTTTACTCAAAACAATAAACCTACCTATTCTTCAAATATTAAATAAATAAGTATTTTAAAGGTTTGATGTATATTTTGCAGAACACATCACTTTTATTTCACGTGTGACTACTTTTGCTACAGCTTGATTCTTGTTTTGAACTTAGTTGGGTTAAATGTTAAATGCAGAAAACATTTAATTTTTATAAGTTGCCAGATATTTAGAAGGAAGCTTCTTCTGTGCAAGGACCAGGAAAACATCTGTGTGATAAAAATAAAATCTAAGAACAGATATGAATAAAAGTTAATTAGATGAATCATATTTTTGTGGTTTTCCTTAGTGTGGGCTTTACTATTATTTGTTTCCTCATTAGATTATTCATTCACTGTACTAAGAAAACAGTTATTATTCAGAAATACTTCTGTTATGAATTTGGAATCACATGGAAATGATGTTATAAAATTATATATATTTGTTTATATATATCTTTCAACTTAAGAGTTCTCGTACAAATGTATTAAGTACACAAATAACTAATAGTCATTTAGTTCGTACATTATTTACTTAATTATTTATATATGACTATTTAGTTAATTATTGCCTGTACATGAAATGAAAATCAATTTATTTATCTGAGGCCGATGTTTCCATAGAATAAATATCATCCATAAATCTTGAAAGAAAGATGTGCATTTCTTTATTTTATACTGAATAATTCTGAGCTATGTTTTATATATACATATATAAATTCCTCAAACATTAAAAATAATTCTAAGCTTAAGGATACACTTAATTTTGAATTGCAGGTTAAACTTAAGTCAAAGAAATGATTCTATTAAGATCACACTAGAACTTTTTTCGATTAATTTTTATATTCATCTTAAAATGTTGTTAATTAAAATCTTTATTTTAGGGTGATGTTTTACCAACAACTGGAGGAGGAGTCCAGGTAAAGTTCAGCGACGTTGAAATTTTAAAACAAAAATCCCCATCATCATCACCGACGAGGAGAAATCATAATTTAGCCAACAATGCTCAAAATGGTTGTTCCGTTGCCATCGAAGGTCACGGCTTTAGACGTTAAAAAAATGTCTTTTGAACTGTAATTTTTATTGTATATTTTTGTTTTATAATCTGGAGAACTTGATTATTTTATATTTCCTCGGGCTCTGTGATAACATATTAGTAACTTATTGTATTATTTTATTTTAAATTATTGGTTTTAATGATTTGTATTTTTAACTTGCTGTTTTTTTTTTTTTTTTTTTACCAGGCAATGATGGATTTTAAAGTATATTTAATAGAACCAAAAATTTATTGTCATTGAAAATTGTTATGATTTTAATTTCAGTGGTGGTAGGATTTATTAATTTTAATTTAATAACAAAATAAATTAATTTTTATCCATTATTATCTATGTAATAACTTATTATGAATTAACTAAGTTTTGTGATAAATATAGTAAAGGAATTTGTATATTAATTTTTTTTTTTTTTTTTAATATTTGTAACATCATCGATCTTTGAATTATTTATTTTTAAAAAATTGTCATTTCCTTACCTCAAAGAGAGGCAAGCAAATTACGAGCACAATAAATACAATCATGAGCTAAGTATTAATGATTAATTAACACCCAGCTGTTAAACTTAGATTTTAAAAAACTACAAATTTATTTTTTATATTAATATATCCATCACTCTCATGAAGCCATTTGTATTTTTCCGACAGCAGACTCTTTCCACATTTTCTTTTAACTTTCATTCTTATTTTTAGATATTGATAGTTACTTATTAATTCTGTAATAAATGGAAAACATATATATATATATATGCAATACATGTATAATTTTTCGGACATTGCCATTAGCTGGGGAAATCCTATAATTTCATTTTGTCTTACGAAGCAAGGATATATTACTGTAATACACCCATCAGTAAACGATTCCTCATCATTCTGAAGTTATTAAAAAAACAGATAATAAAGCACATAATGAAATGTTTTATTTGATATGACCTATCTTCAGCAATCATTCTTTTTCTTTAATGTTGTACTTAATTTAGCAAATTAAATTAAATTATTTTAAAAATATAAAAATAATGGCGAGTGAGGACACTAAAAGATTTAGTGTTCTATATGAAATTACTGGATACAAATTGAATTAAACTATATTTGTGGTAGAACTATTGTGCTGCTTCTACCAAAAATTTGTAGTGCCGAGATAATATTAAAATAATTTATTAAACTGTACGTCACTCCTATGATGTAAATACAAAAACCATTCTTTTAAAAATTCAAATATGATATTTAACTTTCAGCTTTAAAGAGGTAAAGAAAATGTAAATATATTCATATTATATCCAGTTTATTATCTACAGTACATGGATTAAGTAATTAAATATGTATATTTCTCATTTATAACAATATAGTTTCTATTAATGTTAATGCTGATTCAAATTTAAATCCTAGAAAAGTTGGTAATATTATCTTCTACACAATACATAACGTAAAAATGTATTACCAACTGCAAATTTTCTCTAAAAAAATAACTAGAGTTATACTATAAACCACTAGACTAAAACTTAACATGTAACAACAACAAGGATAACAAGACAGGAATGATTATGCACATCTCATAATTAATGATTACTTTTTTTGAAAAAACTAAACTGAAAATAAAGCAGAAAAAAAATTAATGAAAATATTTTATTCCATTGAAAACATTTTGATGTCAAAATAAGAAAAATGGAAGTATAATCTGTAACCTTTGCCTTACAAGGCAGATAACTAAATTAAAACAATTTTAACAACTCTTCGTAATGCCGATAACACCGCAGGCAACCCTAGCTCCAGCGTTACCAGTAGTTTTACTCAATTCATGGCCACCTTTTCCCATATCATCAGGATCAGCATGTACCTAAACAATATAAACATTACATTTCTTGCTTTGATATCAAATATAATATAATAATAAAAAAATAATACATACAACAATAGTTCTCCCGATAATGCTAAGTGGTCCACAAAGCGAAATCATCTTGTCGCAAATATTGATTTTTGCATTACCATCATTTTCAGCAATTATATTCCCTAGGTCACCAACATGTCGCACTGAATCAGTGGGAGCTCCATGATCTTTATTTTCTGGATTGAAGTGAGGGCCAGCACTTGTACAACCTAATAAATTAAAATAAACACAATCAAACAATGAGGAGAAAGACCTTCCCTCTAGCTTAATAATTATAAAAAAGTGATTAATTTTTCATATTTTTTTTTTTTTTTAATTTTACTAACAGTATCAATCTATGTTTGATTTCTATTACAATCAATATATATATATATATATATATATATATATATATATATATATATATATATATATATATATATATATTTAATTGTAATACTTAAACATTTAAAACAGAATACTGTGATGAAGATACATCTATTTTTTAAAAATAATTATCAAGATAACAATGTAATTAAGCCCATATTACTATAAATTAAAAAACTAAAACATTAATTGTCTTGTTTAAGCTGTAAATACTAAATTAATAGCATATTATTACTGATATTGTTTATTTCTCAACATATACCATCATGTGTTGTGTATATTAATCTTTATTATAATATAAATAAAAATAATGTTTTCCACTTAATGTAATGTAGTTGAATTGATCAAATCAAAAAAAATATTTCAAATAAGCACAGAAGGTATTTTTTTACATTTTAATTGTATTTATTTGCATTCTATTTATCATATAAAGACTGTACATTTACATACTCCAAGTCATTCATGTAATAAGCTCCAGAATGTAGTGTGCATGTAACAAAATAAAAAGGAACTTGAAAGTGACACTTAATATAATGTGTAAGTTTTTTGCACTATTTAACCAGTATATTCTACATAAATTAAATTGATTTCTTTGTTTTTTTTCACCAAAAAATGGATTACCAATTCAAAGAAAATTAAGAATTAGAAAAATTTATTTTATACAGTAATAACAATAAATAGATATATTCTGAATCTATCACAATAACATGAAAACACATGTTTTCTATTATGGGAAGATTGGTGTTACTAAAATGTAACAGTTTCTAATAAAAATTTAGGTACAAATAAAAAAATCATGAATAACTGTTGGCATTTAAGTATCAATTAATTTTAATGGCAATTTTATCCAGCACGATAATAATAGATAAGTCAATTTGTTCTATTGAATATAAAATTATTATCCATAGTTCATAAAGATTGACCTATTTGAAAATGCCTTTACTGCTATCTATCACTTAATTCTTATCAGGTCAGTTCAATTATTGATTTTTTGGACCTAAAATGAGAATTAATAACAATTGTTCAATTTAAAATGATAAAATAATGAATTTTGATCACAAAATGTTGCAAATGATATGTAGCAGTTCACAATATCATTTTTATTCGTAAAATCATCAGAACAGTCTGAAGGCTTGAAAAGGAACAAATATGAACTAAAATACTTTTTGTTTTTGTACTTGATAAGCAATTATATAGCAATATGTATCCTATTTTATTACCATTTGTATTATCACCAAACTCATGTATATGAAATCCATGGTTGCCTTGGCTCAAGCCTTTAACTTCGCCAGTCACCTTAACTTCTGAAGATGCATTCTGAAAACGTTAATAAATTAAGTAATGACCAATTACGGAAATGGTTATGAATAGATCGTTAATACTTACGTCCTGTTCAAAATAAACAGTACCGCTGACTACTTCGCCAATAAGTACTGCAACTGCTCTAATAGGCATTTTTGGTCTATTGGAGTTTAAAACTTCCTTAATATGAACAGAACAGAGCAACAGCAATCTTACAACTGATAGCAAAAGTGACTTGCTAGATTATATAAGTAACCAATCACTTCAAGGTCAAGGCCTTCCAAATAATTTCTGTTTGCCGGCAACTTTGTTTTGAGATAGGTTTCTCTGGAACTATTATAAAGTATGCATTATAATGAATTCAGACAAATTACATGGAAAATAAATTCCATACATTTATAAAACTTGAAAACTTGAATAGAAGTCATATGTAGGATTTATTTGTTCTATTACATATTTTAGAATTTGAAGCCTGCTGATATTAACATATTCACAAAATTCCTAAAACTTAAATCACTTTTATGATTTGTCATTGTCAAATTGCTTTGATTACGTAAGCGTGATTTTTTAAATTAAAAGATATCCTTATTAGGAATAGGCGGTTATTTCAAAATAACTTACTTCGATGCCTTCATATAAACTAGCTGTTCAACTGACCTATATAATAGATTAATGTCTGTTTTCCTTGGAAAATCTTTTATTTTTTAAAGCTAATTTATTTTCATTGTATAAATTACTTCAACATAGTATTTATGACATCTTTTTAAATGTAAAAATTTCTTTTCTTGTTAAATGCTTACTTATTTTTATTTTTTTTTGTTTGTCATCCTGTCTTGCTTCTCGGAGTTGCTATATGGGTTTCAGATGAAAAAGCGAAAGCCAACTCTACCAATAGTTATTTAGTTTAAATTTTTTTCACTCTTAGTTCCCCTCATCAGTTTAGCCCTTATTGCCCCAAACGTGGTGTAGGTCGTGATGGCTTGCTCAACAGTTTCCATACCGTAAAACCGGAAGTATAGGACCTTATAACCAGGGGTGTAGGTATAACCCATGCAACATTATAATGTCCTTATCGAAGTCATCCAGCTTGGTACAAATTACTTCATGTTCTATGAAAAAATTGGAAATTCAATTGTCAGATAGTATCAATTTAGCTTCCAATCGTGAACAGATAGTGGGTAAATATCTTCCCCTGCTAGTATCTCTTGCATTCCGTATTATCCATTTGCTTGGATTTACAGCAATCCTCCATGAAGATTCTACGGAAGACCAAAGGAAATTTCTGCGCCTTTTATCTTAAACTAATACTTGATCTTTTCTTTTCGCAAAAGACTGAGCGGTACTGTCGGATAAATCTTCCTTCTTCCCAAAACAGAAAATAATAATTTTTTTTTTATTGCCTCATATTTGTTACAATGATAACTAATCTGACCTAAATACTTTAACAACCAAATTGTATTTTCTTTTTAAATTACAAAGCATGTACAGGTACTAAAGAAAAAAGTAATTCCAAAAATCTTCATTGTTTTTGTAATTACATTTTTTCAGGCTATATATATACTTTTTTTTCTTTAACGAGAGGTAATGTCGAGTACAGGAGACTTCGTCGAGAGGAGAAGAAACTTCATCGTAGAAAGATGAGGCAGAGTTGCAGAAAGAGCGTGAAGAGTTGCAGAAAATAAAAGCCTAGAAGCCTTGTACGGAAACAAAGATTTAAAAGAGTTCTTCTGCAGGATAAATAATTTCAGGAATTCTTTAACTGAGACTAATACCTATTGCCTGAATTAAGAAGACAATCTTCTTATTGGTATGTTGACAGTCCAAACAGAATGAAGAAGACATTTTGTCAGACATCCTAACTGACACAGAACTCAACCATGAGGCCGTTAATAGAGCTCTACCTGGTGTGGGAGATATGGAATCCGAGTTATTACCGCTCAATGAGCAAGAGATTGAGGAAGCTGTGAATAGGCAGAAGGCTCTAGAATCACAAGGCTCTAGGGTGCGATGGACTTCCAGTCGAACTTTTACGATATGGAGGCAACGAACAAGTGAAGGTATTTAAACCTTTCTATGTCAGTGTGGGATGATGAAGTAATACCCTACGCATGGAGAAAATCGAAGACCTGTCCGATTCACAAGATGCGTAATCGCCTAGCATGTAGCATTTACAGATATATAACCTTATTGACTACCTACGCTGATAGATCGACTGTTGACCAGATATTTAGCCTGGGAACCACATTGTAGAGATGACACGAATTTAAACAAAAGACACACCTTATCTTAATCGATTTTAAGGTTGCCTACGATAATATTAATAGTGATGAGCTGTGTCCAGCGATGGAGGAATTTTATATCCCTCAGAAGCTCTTACGTATGTTGAGGATGACCATGAATGAGGTGTTGTGTTCAGTGAGCGTTGGTGGAGATCTATCTGAGGAATTTCGAGCTACGATGGGCCTACGGCAGGGCGACGCCCTCGCATGCCTCTTATTCAATATTGTACTAAAGAATGGGGCATACAGGTTGGACAGACAATATTCAGTCGAAGTATGCAACTACTGGCTTATGCGGACGATGTCGACAACATTGGGCACTCTCAATAGGCTGTCAGGGAAGCTTTTCTAGCACTTGTAGGTCCTATAAGAAATCTTGGACTTGAGGTGAACCACGAGAAAATCATAGACATAGTGACCGAAAGGACGCTTGGTCTACCGATTTGAGCAAGTCAAGATATTTATCAAGGCTCTATGGTAACGAAAGACAACAGCACAGAAACGGAAATTATAAGGAAGAAAATCTCTGCCAATCAGTGCAACTACAGCCTGGAAACACAGCTTAGCGGCTGCATTCTCTCCCTCCAAACTAAATTACATCTTTACATAACCATAATCCGTCCAGTGTTAACGTAGACTATGGCCAAACGCAATGAACAGATCCTCCTTGTGTTCGAGCTGAAAATTCTTTGGAGGAGTATTGGTAGATGGAACCAGTAGAACAAACCAGGAGGTTTATGCTCTATTTAAAGAGCCAAATATTGTTTAGGTGGTTAACTAAAATATAAACAAACAATAAAAAAAAAATTAAAACTTGAATCCTCTAATGCTAAAAAAATACCATTCTCTTGCTCCTAAGATTTGAACGACTTCGTCAGCAACAATCTTCTGGCAAATACACCTTCCCTGAATCGTCGCCAAGCCTACATCCATTGTAGCGAGATGTTGGATGACAGACTAGAGACGCATACCCTCGGAACAACTAATACTACTCTATTATAGAAATCGATTTTATGGCCGGAATTGACTATCAATTTCGTTTTTATTTTCATTATCAAGGGAATTGTTTCCAGAATAAAGCTGATTTTTTGGGTTCACAAGAAATAAATAGTCAAGCTGAAATAGTGCCGTGAAGCTAGGACCTTTGGAACCGAATGGCATATTATATTTGATATCGATTTAAAGATTTTAACAGTTTAGAAATTTTATAATAGCCCGAAGATAGGCGTCATGATACTAGCAATGCAAAAAAAGTAATGTTTTTTATTGCTCGACACCGATCAGCAAAAAATTGTCATATTTCGGTATAAACCAACAGCTCTGCAAAATTCGTTGTTGGTTTTGCCAAATTGAGAAGATAAAAAACTAACAATTCGAATTTGAAATAAAATGAGAAACTGAATGTTACATGGTTTTGCCCCTGCGAAAAGCAGGTGCTAAATTATATTCCATTACTATGATAAACAAAAATTTCATTTGAAAGTACCTGAAAGTTGAGGTCCACTTACTCTGTAAACTGGTGAGTATTTTTTTACTCTCCTTAAAAATTTGGTTTACTTGACTACTTGCGCCTTTTAGCTATAATTTATATTTCTACAGGTGTTAGGTAGTGCTTCTCCTTATCGGTATGAGTATTTACAGTAAGGATTGGATACACAAATTCAGGAATGTTTTCCTAATCCAGTCCAAAAACAAGAATAATACATGGATAGTGGATATAATACATGAATATCTGGATTCTATAAGAACTTAAAATGAAGTTCAAAATTTTGTGCAAGCAGTTCTTTTTTCAATTGCTATAAAAATTTATGTTTTTTGGCTTTTATTGAGGTGCAAAAAACGATTACCAGACCAGTTAAAAATAAAAATAATAATTAGGCCCGGATGTGTAATTACTGGACAGTAGATACATTATTCTTGTTTTTGAACCGAATTAGGGGAACATAACTGGATTTGTGCTTCTATTCTTACTCCAAATACCCAGCCGTTTTAGAAAAAACGTAATACTTGGAAAATGGTTACAGCATATGTACAACGTTGAAACAATGTGGTCCACATCGGTACGATCGACAAAGCAAAAAGTTGTAACAAATTTTACTAGTAGAAATAACGATGATATTGCTATCTTTAATCCCTATCCCCTCTAAAAAAACAAACAGAAAATTTGAGATAATATCCACTTCCATACGAAACATAGTAGGGGATATAACTTATAACGTTTGGTTCAATTTGAGTTGATTCATAATGAAAGGGGGCTTTAAAATATCCACCTTCATTTATATATATTTTTAATTTCCAACATTAATCTACAGAGGCCTATTTTATGTTCTTCTGTAATATATTAAATACAGACAAATAGCCTTTGTGAATTTGTATACATTTCAAATTCAATTCTAGTTGGATTTGTTGTTTATATCACTAAGGATTTTATTCACCATTTACAGTAAAATAAGGCCTAATTCGGGCAGAATGGTTCATCTCAAGAGTGGAGGTCTTGTGAAGGACATCTTAAGATATCTCTAGAATTAACAAACATGGACTCTAACAAACATTAATGGTTACTTAATTAATAAGTAATTAAAATACTATCACAGGTATACAGTGAACCAAAAGAAAATAAACAATGTTTAAAAAAATTATTTGAGTGCTTGGTAAAACAAATCTATCTATTAATGCATTAAATATATTAAAATTAGCTACTCATATTTTACAAAGCAATCAATATCACGGGAAGAAGATGTAAATATTTATGCTAATTTTGGGATCATTTCAGTTAATAAATGCTCAGAAATATCAATAAATAAGGTCAAAGTTCTTGGAACCTGTTATCACTGTTTATTAGTTGAATACACAGATAAGTTAAGTGAATCATAGTAGTACACTACAAATTAATTCATAACTTTTTAGAATTATGGAATTAGAAAAAAAACCTGACTTATATCAACTAACTAACTATTCCTAATTTAATAATCAATATTAAATGTTCAAAACTGATTATAGAGCATCACCAGAAGAAAACAAAATTATAAATTATTTACAAATCAATTAAATCAAATGAATTAACAATAAAAATAGTGGGAATATAGGACTAATTAAAAGAGAAATGTATATAGAAAAAATTAATATATTTTACAATATAAATTAAACAGAAATAATAATAAACAACAAAATCAATGTAGATACAGTTTTAAAAACTTCATAATAGAGTAAAAAACATTTAATTTCTACAGTTGATCAGTAAACGTGAACCATTCCGTAAATAAATCTAAAATGAAGTGTAAAGGAGAATATAAATTTGATTACAGAACAGCATGAATAATTATGTATTAAATATACATTAATAAATTTAATTTATATATGTAAGGCACCACTTTAATTAACCTTTAATAATATAGTTAATTTAAAATTTTCAAAAACATTTAGATAATTATTATTTGGTCAAAATAAAGTAGATTCCTCAAAACTGTAACTTAATGTATCAATAGAAAGGTAGTTAAGTCATCTTAAGTTAGTGAAATTATATAGAAAAAAAAAAAAGAATTTTTTTTTTCTTGGCTTGATATTACTGAAAGAAACTATGAATAATCTATCCATTTTTTATAGCAGATTTCTTAATAGAGGAGTCTACGATTCTTGTTCCTCGTGGAATTTTGAGGATTCAAAAGTACAACGCAAGCAGACTAACTGACAAATATTTTCTAAAGCTTCCAAATGAAGTAATTCAAGATTTATCCTATTATAGCTTTCATGGTAAATAATCAGTCACTTGGAGCAATGTGAGTTTCAGATTATCTTATTTGTAAGCCTCCTAAATTAAAAATTCAAACCTTTACAGGAAAGGAAGAAATATCCTAATTTTCTTCCATATTTAAGTAAAAATTAAATAAAATACCATTTTAAAACATTTTAGCTCTGGTTATATTTTGGAGATAGGAAGCTTGCTAATTAAAATGTCAAATTATAATCTTTATCTTCATATAAAATTTATAAATTATACAAACTGCAAAATAACTACGATATTAACTTGAGCTGTACATTACACTTCAGACAGAAACAAATGAAAAAAAAATATAGAAAGTAATTATCGAATGAAGTACCAACATGCAGGCATAAAGATGAATACATCTTCAATTCAAAAGAAATATAGAGACAGAGATCATCAATGACTATCCTTCCCACAGATGTTATCTGAGAATCTTGGAAAATTTCTATAAAAACTTTCTGAGTGGATCTAAAGAAATTATTCTATTTATTTTAAGGTTTAATGACTGAAAATCTTTTAAACCTCTGTAGCTTTTCTAATCATTGCCAGCTATAGAGCAGGACAATATGCAGCAACAATGCCCTGGCACCTCATGTAGGGTATTATCAAAAATTAGAAAGTTTATAAATAAAACAACTGAATTAGAGTCACATTAAAAGAAATGCAATTCAAATATAAAGTAATATACAGGATTCTTGATATATGTCTCATTTCCTCCTCCGAAATTATACTTTTAATTTTATGGGGAGAAGAGTGGAGCAATCATGATGAAACTGCCCGGGGTTAACAACTATTAAGGCCATATAGCAATAGAGCTGGATATAATAATTCGTTATGGAGATACTAGTTATCGGATGACTGTCCCTAAAATGAAGTACTTCAGTAATTAATACATTAAACTAGAAATTAAAGAATAACAGACATGAAAGATATTCTTTTAAATTAGAACGAAAGAAAATAAGAATGCAAAACAGGTTTCCATAGTATATTTAAAACTATATATTTATTTTAAAATCATATGACAAAGAAACAATTCATTACAGATTCTCCATCCTAATTGTTAGTATGCTCCACCCATATGTCTGAGCCTAAATGCTGGGTTGTATTAAAAAACATAACGTTTTATTTTTAAAAAATCATTTACTAACCGAACAAAATAAAAAAACCTTGTAGAATTCTGAGTTGATACAGTTTTAAGACTGAGTGTCCTAAGAAAATATATCATTTCCCTATCAGTCCTACTGTTCATAGGAGATTTGAGTAAACAACTAGCTTGTAGCAGGAACTAATTGGTTAAAACAAGATCAGTAGCAATACTAGATACAGCACTTAAAGAAACTTGATGAGGTTAGGGAGAGCCATCATCAGAAATTTATACAAACACAAGGGAACTATATTCAAACATCGGGGAAAAAACAGCTAAGGTGTTAAAGGCACACAATAGAAGTGAAAACATATACAAGACAAGATTAATAATATGAAATATAAATTATAAATAATGGATTATTATAAAAAGGATGAAATGATGAACATTTCTCTGGCTTACGGTATGTAGGTCTGATTATTAGTTACTAAGATATTTGAATCCATATCTTTCATAAAACTGGTTATCATTTGGTTTTCAACATTATTTTTCCTTTTCGCCTCTCTAGCATGGCATCACGTTACCGGTATTGGTAGAGGGACTTAGTCCAGCAAGTGGATCTATTGGTCCTTTTTGCCAACCCCAAAGACAATACCACCAATGGTTGTCTATTGTACCTCCAACTCTGTCTCAAACCTTTTTGTTCTTCTAATGAAGTTCAAAAGGTTGGACCATTTTATGGAGGCAGCTTTGCATAATTGTATTCTGTCTGCACTCAGAAGTCTGTATCTGAGTGATGAAAATCAGTCACATTCTGTGAAGAAGTGAAGGGCAGTTCCTGCTGCTTTTCTGCACAAATTGCACAGTTCAACATTTACTATCCCACAGATCTTTAAATGTCTTTTAAGTCTGCAGTGGCCTGTTAGTACTCCGATGATGAGTTGCATTTCTTTTTTAGTTAGGTCCCGCAGCCACGTAGTTTTGGAGGGAGAGGGGCTTTTGATAAATTGTTTGGCTTGTCTAAGCCCAGTGCATTCCCTCCATTCTTTACCTGCTCTTTTCCAAGTCCAATCAAGAACTTCTTTCCGCTGGCATTGCATTAAGAAACAATTTCAATTAATTACTCATTACAGAGAGTATGAAATTCTAAACGATTCCCTCGCTTACAGTATGCAGATCCGATTTTTAGTTTGTGAGATATTTTAATCCATATCTTCCATACAACTCGTTATCATTTGGTTTTTGACACTATTTTTTCCTTTTTGCCTCTCTAACACAGCATCGGGTTAAGATACAATTTTGAATAATAGCCCATTACAGAGAGGATGCAATGATTAACATTTCCTTTGCTAACAATATGCAGGTCTGATTTTTAGTTTTTGAGATATTTTAATCCTTATGCAAAAACACTTCAATTAGTCAGCTCCAGACAACTTTATCCGAGCGTTACACATCAGAGATCTGATAGCTCGATCTAGTTCACTCTCCACCAAAAAAGTGGAAATCGCGCCTAAAGAAGTTTTCACTTAAAAAAAAAAAAAACCATTTGTGTGCTCACAGTAATGAAATAACTGAAGAAAAAAAGACAAACACAGCAGAGAGATCTGGATAAATATTGAGGAATATTTTTATGTACAGTAAATGTGAGTAAAGTGATGACACTACAACACTGAGAACTGAAAGTAAAAAATTTAATTGTAGATGAGATTTATATCCTATATACTGCTCTCATGTAGTTACTTAATTTCTAATTTATTTTATACTAGGTTTATAAAAGCAGCCAATTATAAAAACCAGACACGGGCTGCTGTGGCTTAGCCTGGCAAAATGAAAAAGAAAGAAAATAGAAAGCACATATGAGTAGATTAGTAGTAAAGGAAATCAGTCATTTTTAAAAAGTTGGAAAACAAATATGTCTGTAAAATGGCTTCAATTTAAACAATTCTAATGGTTTTTTTTCTCATGATTCAAATTGAACATTCATAATCATCTAAGTGAATACGTCGTCATTCATAATCATTAGAAACAGTCTGAGTAGAACTTATAAAACTAAATTGAAAAATTAATAAAAAAAATGTATAATAGTATTCACCTACATAGGGAGAATCATATAACTTCTTCGAATGATAATTTCAATTACTGTAGTAATTATAAAATTTTCAATTAATCAATAAAAAAAAAGAAAAATAAATAAAAAAAAGGCTTGCCGATCTTCGGTAGTGAGGAAGCAAAAGGAAACAGCCTTTTCTGAAGAGAAAGCAGTAAATGTTTAAAACTCAATAACTCTGCAACGAACCGTCCGAATTCGATGATTTTTTTTTTATTTTTTCAGCGATTCAATATAAATATGGGTATTATTAGTCAAAAATTGTGTACTTCTTTAGTTATCGTTAAATAAAATATTGAATTCATCTTAAAATTTTTCAGCTTGTTTTTGGGAAAGTATGTTATACAGATAAATTAAAAGTGTTTCAAGGGAAATACTTAAGCCAAGTTTCGTTAAAATTGGTAAAGCCGTTTTGGCGCTACAGTTTATAGCGACACATTTTTTTGCAGCTTTGAACAGAAAAACATTTACATTTTAATTTTTTTCACATATATAAAATTATCGTAAGACAGAAGTACTATGCCAGAAACCTTTCCAGGAGTGTACGGAACAACTTCCCAAAGTTTCATGGCGATCGGTTGAATGGTTTAGTAATGCACTAAGGACAAACAGACGGACAGACAGACATACATTCATTTTTATATATATAGATTACTGTAAACAAATTATTATCATTATTTTTTTAAAAATCCAACTGAAAGCATAAAATTGAAAAAACAATCAATTATGTATATGTAAACAGAAAAAAGAAAGGATACGTCCAAAAGAGTATATATGTCTAAAAAAAAACAAGTTAAGGATCATAATAAAATATACAGTGTAATTTTTAATACATAAATAATAAACACATTCTGATAAATAATAATTTCAACAAATAAATATGGAAATACAGTCCAATCTTGATAATCCAATACTTATTAATCATAAATATTCGATAATCTGACAATTGCTTGATATTTAGGAAAGTATATATACATGGATGAAATACAGTTGTATGCCAAGAATGAAAATGATATGTGAAGCTTTCTTGAAATAGTACGGATCTTCAGTGAAGACATCCATAAGAAGCGCAAAAGGGAGAAAAAAAAAAATAATAACTTTATGTTATTTTGAACATATCTTATTTTGCATTATTAAAATGAGATCTTCATTAGTCCAGATTATTTGATAATCTGACAACGTATCGGCTCCATACTTGCAAGATTTTCAAGATTTGACTGTATTGATTAAATAATGAAATACATAAAGAATTATAAAGCTGTTATATACACTATTATGATTTTAATAAAAAAAGAATCAGTATTATAATGACTTCTGAAATAATGGCTAATGGATTCATTAGCTAAATAATATAATCTGACTGAAATCGTAAATCCCTGTTTGAGGAGAATAATGAATGAATGCCTTATTTACATACTTAATTTTAATTTATTTGTCATTGTAATCATCATAGTCGATTTTCAGATCAAAAGTACTCTATAACATGATACAGATTCTCATATAGTAAGGAATCTTTCATCTAGCACTTGTACAAGAAGATTCATAAATATTTTAATTAATTTAATTTAATCTGTTTTTCTGATTCTTTATTCAAAAAAGAAATGGTGGCAGGAAAGTGATTTTTTTAATTAATAAAATCGGCAATTTTACTAGTAAGATGAGAATTTTAATTTTTGTATGAATGTAACGTCAAATAGTATTTAACATTTTTAAATTTCATAAAGCTTACACGTCAAATCTTAAAATATTAATAGGCAGACAACTTGGCACCATTGGATGTTAGCTTAGACATCCTCTTTATTGAAAGAGGTTCACAAGTTAAAGGCTTATAAAAGGCTTAATAATCAATATTTGTTTTCTCCATTTACATGAAACAATAATTTGCGTTATTATTTATACACAAAGGGCAATAATGAAATTAATAATACACACACCGAAAAGACAAAATTAACAGCAAAAAGATTATAAATATTCAACGAATTAAAGGATACAAATAAACCACCAAAAAAGCCATTGGTCAGAATAGTACGCCTATTTATAAAATATTTTTTCCATTGAGAACCAACCTGCATCATCAGCAATGCCTGAAAATTATGAAATACATATTGTAGATATTTAATATTTTTATACTGTTAGATAATAAATGGGGAGTGGGGTAGCTCAGTGGTAGGGCACTGAGCTTCCAATGCAAACGTCCCAGGTTCGAACCTCGGCTCATGGCAGAAAATTTATTTATCTGTTTCATTGGCCGTGGGGCGATCCTGGGTCGGAAGACCCTCCTGGGGCACACCCAGCCTCTATAAAGTGGGTACCCTTAATTAAATAATTAATTAAGGGGGAAAACCTGGCGGTTGAGCGTGATCTCGGTCAAATCACCTCCTTGCACAACCGTTGACCTAGAAACAGTGCTTTCCCTAAATAGTACTGAACCCCAGACCCTTTATGGGTTGTAGTGGTACAGGTTTTTTTTTTTTTTTTTTAGATAATAAATAACCCAAAATATATTCCACATGACCTGTTAGGACAGTAAAATTAAAAAAAAAAAAATCCTATAAGAAAATATATTATATTTCAATTGTATTATTGTATGTCTTTTACATCATTATATAATGAATAGTAACATATAATTTACTACACTAAAGCTACAATTTAATTTTTAATTAAAATTAGAATTGAGTCTAAAAAAAAAAGATAAATATCAAATATATATTGGAAATATAAAAAAACAAAACAAATATGTTCCAAATTTTCACAAACTTTCATCCTATTCAGCATTTTAAAAAAATACTTATTCTTGCTCATTTCCTCAGCTACTTTTTACTTTATTTTTTTAAACCAAATTATTTAAAAACAAGAATTATGTCAAATATCATATAATATAGCTGCGTTGAAACCTTTTATGCGCCAAAAGTATGGTTACAGAAGAATAACAAAAACTGATTAATGTAATTTCGGATCCATAAAAAATAAGATTCATTCTGATCAATCATATAATGATTATGTAAACTTACAAGATTTTTTTTTTTTTTGTCTTGAGATTTCACAACAGCAATAATATGTTATTAATGCTTAAAAAATAAACAATATATTACCCATAAACCTAAAACAGCAAACACATAGAAACCAAATCCATAAAACCCAGTAAAACCTAAAAGACCAGCCGTTCCTCCAGATATTGCAGCCATAGAAGTTCGACAATATTCAACAATAGCAGCATTGTTTCGTAATGCCGATTCACTGTAAGCCACCATTTCTAAAAAATACAATTCAGATGTTACATTAGGTATTTATAATTTGCATATTGTTATATACTTAATGGAGCAGAACACAGGCTTTTAAAAACGTATTTGTAGTAAACATAAAATTTAGGGAGGAGAGTAGCAAAACAAGACATCAGACTCCTCATTTCTATATCCAGGTTTGAACATAATTGTGGCAGAACTGAAGATAAGGCTTACTGAATAAAAAACTAATTTGAGAAAAATACATAAGGATTGCTCAGTAGCACAAAATTATAAGAATAAGTTGATTTTTTAATTTATAATGTTACTTATTCACAAAAATCATCTTCATTAACACATTCCATTGGCAAAAAGAAAACATATACATTTACCAAGTTCAAAACAAAAATAAATTCTAAAGATTTTTCCTAATTCAAAACTCTTCCCAAAATTTCTTCTTTCAGATTAAGAAGTATCTTAGTTCCAGACAGCAGAAGCACTAATGATACTTTCCACTCTCAATATTTTAGTGGCCAATCACACATGTATGTGATGGCTGGACGAATCATAAGCGTCCACTCACACATGTGTGTGTGATATTACCACCAAGAGAGACCCCTGGCAACATTTGACTGTGTAGACATGTGGCCATTAAAGTGTTAAAATGACTTCAACACGATTCTGAGGCAAATCTGTGCTGGGATCTTCATGTTCAAATGGGGTTCAATAGAATCGAGGAAACTAATATACATACTTAATGAATTATTCAAGAATAATTCTAGGCCTTGAGGATTCATCCAATAGTTCTGAGCTTTCTCAATAATCCCTTTTATATATGTTTATACATTCCATTATCTGAGACAGGATGGGCTGATTTCCCAAGTAACCCAACTGAAGGAGTCCCCAACTTACACCAAACAAAGAATCTGACAATAAGAATGATTTGTGAATCATATATGATTTAATCGAAGGTTTTGATGATGTAATTTTAGATTAATCAGAAGCATAATAAATAATCTGGCTTAAGTTCAGCTTCAAATAAACTGGTGAGATTTCGTTAATTTAAAGAACTTTAAATGGTTTTATAAAGGATTTAAAAGAATAAAATCCAAATCTCACTACAACATGAAATGTTTTCATAATATTCTTATCATTACCTCCACCTTTTTCAAGTTTCGTTTTTACTCGTCCCATTGCCATATTTAGGATGTTGGTAATTGGGAAATATAGAGAAATTGAAAGGAACTGACTTTTTAAAACATCGGTCAAATTATTCAATTAGTAAACTAGAAGGTTACGAGTCATTACAAAGAGATGCGACAGGCAAAATAAAGCAGTTGTTAATAAGATGAATCAATTGTTGGGAAACCTTCATATTAAAGTATATTGAAAAGGAGGCCAGAACGTAATAAGATTTATAAACAGATAAATTGTATTACAGAGAAATTAAAGCTTTGTGCATTTAAAATTGAAAAAATCGAATTATGAAAACATGACTTCCTAAGGACAAGATAGAGGCAGATAATTCTAAAACATTCAGGAAGGAAGAAGAAATAATTTGTCTAAGGACGCAGTTCTATGCAAAGGAGTATAAATATCAATTTGTTGAGTTCTGGTTTTCAAGGAGTGGATGAAGGGACGCAAGATAAGGAGTTCGAAGATATATGAAAATTAATTGTTTTATAGGATTTGTAAAAGATAAAGTTCGACGTCGATGTTGACGTCAGAGAGAAAGATAAATCCACTACAGTGTACTGGTAATAAAAGTACGTCTGGAAACACCAAAGACAAATCTTATTAAACAAATCATTTGATACTTTAATTATCCTTCTAGTTCAATGGTGAATCATATAATGTGTAAATCTGTAACTCGCTTCGAATACTCGTGTCTTATGTTGAGCAGGTAGTTTTAAGCCACTAAAATGTTTTGCAAATGCTGCTTCACTAATTTTCTAATATCAGTAATCTGAAAAATGCTTAAGAGAAACGTGGGGTACAAGATGTGCAATCTTTCATTTTGCTTATGGGTTTCATGTAAAAATTTTATTCAAAGGTTAAGGTAACATTGTCGGGGTGTTTGGAAAAAAACAAACATAATACAAGCCTGGTTAATTACAAGAAATTAACATCTAAATACTTCAATTACTGTCTTGATGGCTGAGAGTGGGATATGAGTCACTTTAGCCACCTCGAGTTTTACGGCGCTGGTTCAAATATGTCCTGGGTGGATTGAAATTTATCCGTTGCACTGACATGAATCAACCTTTCCACTCTAGATAAAATAGGTTGATTACCTAAAGGATATGCCATCTGCTTTAATTAGAGTACATAGGGACCTTAAACACCAATAAGCAGACAACGAATTTCTTATCATCTCGGTTAATGATGGAAAGAATTTACATCAATCTGATTGTTTAAAACGGAGTGGCTTATATTTGTTTATAATTTAACCAAAATAGAAATCACGAGGACTAAAAGAGTTTTCAGGATTGATTGAAGATGGTTATAGCTAGTACATAATTAAGTTATATTGATCCTAATCTTATAGAATCTCCTAAGATACAAACGACATTAGCCGAAGACCATAACCAGAAATGTGATGTTAAAAAGAGTGTAACGTAATTAATGTTCAGTCAAATGGCGAAGGGCATCGACTGCAGGATCGGCTACGACATTCTCACGTAATGAAAATGGGTTAATTGGAATAAAATGTAAGTGCTATAATTGAATTGAAGAAAGGATATCAAGAATAATACCAAGAGAAAGGACGAATAATTTTCAAAAGAGAAAGTAGGCCTGTCTTGTCCAATCTTTTCTTTGGCAGAATAAAAGACGAGTGGCACATTCTTAAGAAAAATTGACAGTCTCTAACACAGATTCCTCACTCTGGTTACGGGGAAATGTATAAATGGAGGATGGTTGTGAACTATGAAATATACATTATGAATTATAAAGCACACATCAGTTATGACTCTACATATTCAATAAATATTAAAGTCATAATTTCGAAATATAATTTTTATCATAGGTTTGGTTACAGGTGATGCTACTCATAGGTATAAATTAACCATAATAACCCATTACAGAGTTAATAAAATTACTCAATGTCATTTGAGTTTTTAAAATACTGTAATTATCTTATATATCTTATAATGCCAAACTCTTCACTTGTATATAAAGACATGATCGGAAGTTTATACATTAAGTATAAAGTTTATATGTAAAAATAAACATAAATTAATCATATTATTAACATAAACAGTAGTATTATACTCCTTTGAAAATAAATCAATATTCAAATTTACAAATAAACCGCCAAGGTCATGGACCAATCACGATCGATGAAAAGTGTTGCATTTGTGGGAGGTTTACCATCACAAGTTGTGAGAAACGTTTAATCGTTCTAACATATGTATATGGAGATATAATGTTTTTTATTTAAGTTGTTAGAAGTGAAAGGTTGTTGTGAAAAGTTGTTAGAAGTGAATGATAGTTTCTAATAAAACATGGCAATGGATGACGTTGGTGAAGAGGTTTGTATTGATATTGTTGGTTGGCTAAGGTATTTGTTATTAGATTTTGCTCATTTAAATATTTTGTAGACACAATTTGTTGTGGATGAAGTTAGTAACATCATAAAAGAAGCAATTGAGGCATCTATTGGTGGAAACACTTATCAACAAAATAAGGTTAACCAATGGACAACAAATGTAGTCGAAGCTTGCTTAGGGAATCTTACTAAGTTGCACAAAGCTTTTAAATATATTGGTAAATAGATTTTCATTATTTTTATTTTTATTTCTTTAACTGTGGTTAGGATTGAGATTACATTTGTTAAATCGTGGATTTTCCAGTTACTTGTACCATCATGCAGAAAAACGGAGCAGGTCTTCATAGTGCTAGTTCTTGTTACTGGGATAATTCAACTGATGGTAGTTGCACAGTTAGATGGGAAAACAAAACTATGTACTGCATCGTCTCTGTGTATGGCTTAGCAGTTTAAACCAAAATCAGAAATAAACGATGGACTGTACAGTATTTTTAACATTGTTTTAATTATAAATTATTTATTAAACTTAAAATATTTATTCAGGTTTGTTTGGATAATGTTACCTAATTATTATATTATGTAGTAAAAAAATATGAATAAAGACAAATTGATTTGTATTTTTTACACTTTAACTAATTTCACTTATAAATTAAAAATTTAATTATTGCACTTTATTCTTGTAAAATTTATAAAAATGTGTATGTAGTAGTTTGTGCATAAAGTTTTCAACTTTATAAAGTTAAAGAAAATGTTAAGGGAATATTAGCTTAACTTCCTTAAGTTTTGAATTGTGCCTTTTATTATCTAGCTTAAAATGTTGCAAATTTTTAATAATTTTTAGAAGTCTAAGCACTTTTTAATTTTAATGTCTTTATGATTTATTATATTTTCATATCATTACAACCACAGTTTATTTTATATAATGTATATTTTGTTTGCAATCCTTTTTGAATAAATTATACAAATTTATTGTTTGTACGAAGAAATAAACCTTCCTCGTTTAAATATCTAAAAAAAAAATTTACTTAGTTTATAAGGAGTTATTGCAGTTTTGTGGTTAATCGTAATAAAAAGTAAAGTATGATTTGAATGTTATTTCTCCTGTATTAATAATTAACCAGAAATATACTTAAAAATATATTTATAAAATTGATCTTAAAGAGTTTTGAAGTATGGTGGTCCATATACTTCAAAACTAATATATCAATTGCTTAAGAAAAGTTTTAAATAATCACTATCATCTTTAATATTTGATTTCCATGTTTACATACCCATTTATTATGAAATGCTTATTTAATAATGAATATTATCATTTCTTATTTAATGTATATAGTGTGATGGAGTTGAATTATTACATTGTCCCATACGTTCTTTCCATTTTCTTTATTTGTTGTTTAAGGTTGATTTACTGGGCCATTTATGAATAGTTCTGCCTTATTGCCTTCTTCCATTTCTCAGGAACTCCATGTACCTTTTTCAAAATGGTTGAGATACACTTGCAAAATATTCATCAAGTTGTGTTTTTATTTTTATTTCAGATTTTTTACTTTTATCATAGAAAGAATTTTTTAATGAAACAAGTAATAATCAGGTGCAATGTCAATACATGGAGCAAGGCCAGGGGAGTACAGAGGATGAGGTGGAAAGTCCCAATCAAACTATAAGAGTTCCTATCTTAGGGTCAAAGCAACATGTGGAATTATGGAGAGAAAAACTCTTATATTTTAAAATATAAATTGATTTCCCCATCCTTAAAATAATTACCCCTTTTCCCCTTGTTTGAGTGAAAATGCAAATACCATTTTTTTTTTTTTTTTGTTCAAAAGTCAAATCACACAATCATCTTTCAGAAAATTCGAATTTAGTTTGCAAACATATATTTTTATGTATATTAAGTAAAAAATAAATTAAAAGGGAAGAGAAAGTTGGATTAAATCTTTGTGTTTGATTTTAACACCTTCAAACTTGTTCATTTATTTGCTTTTGATTAATAACACAATCTGTCATACCCAAGGCCAATAAGTATTAGGGCTAAAGGTATCCATTCATACAAAATATTCATCAAGAAAAATAAATAAAAGTAACTAAAAAAAAAAAATTAATAAAATAAAGCAAAAATGAACTACCAAATATATAAAGTAGTAATAATGAAGGTACAATGATAAAAGTAGAAAATATATGAATTTCATAAAAATAATAGATATATATCCTTTTATTTGTATGTATATAAATAGATAATATTTACAAAATCAATAGATAACAAAAAGTAAATTAAAGGGGAATACATAAAAAAAATAAAATTCATTCATACTTATGTGAAATATTTACATTTGCCCAAGAATCTCTGAACCAGGCTTTGTCTTCCATATGTGATAGGTAAAGTAATATTCCATTTGATCCCAGCTCTTTTCTTACCCCTGCTTCACTGGAATTGGCAGCCACTGAAGACAGAGAGGGAACTAGAGTCACTAACATCCAGGACATGGGGTGAAGCTGGTCATTGGCATAATTACAAAAGGTCTCAAGATCATTGCTGTTATATACTCCGAGGAGGATTAGGATGATGAATAAGATCATGGTAAAAGTTTGTAAATTGAAATGAGATGATGTCAAGGACATAATGTTAGGGTCATGATGTGGCAATGAAGAGCATGTGACCCAAGACACTGCCTCAATTGGGAATTTCTGAGCCACTCAAAGAGGAACAATTAGAGGAATAAGTACAAGGATTAGAGTAAATTGTTTTTGAGCTTGAAAAGCAAATGATCTTGAGACAACCGGCCGAAAACTCGAAATCTGGTTAACAAGGTATTTGACATCAGAGGGATTGACGGCTTAAGGTGGTAGACAGGGTGGAATCGGGGAAGAGAGAAATTCTTTAACTACACCTGTTTGAGTGGGATGGAGAATGAATATATTGGGTAAATGTTTAGTAATTCTGTTTTATTCTTCTCTGACAAAGCCCAGGAACCATCAGGATGTACAGAAGGAGGCAGAGTGCAATTTAACGATTTTTTTGGTTACTTTCAAGAGGAAGTTATCACTAGTAGACAGTGAGGAAAGATAGGAGTGGTGGAATTGGGATCTGAAGGTAGCCAGTTTCTTTTTTACCTGTTTTGAATAATATTTATATAGTTTTTGGTCATCAGGATGCCTGGTTCTTTTGCAGAGGATCCTAAAACATCATTTGCTATGGATAAGGTCTAATAGTTCTTTGGGTAAGGGATTTATTTCGTGGGGTTAAGGATTTAGTTAAACGTTTGAAACTCTTGAATAATAAAAACCAAAATTTTTGGATTTTTTATCTAATATGCTTATCTCATAAGAAATCTTACATAACCTTACATTTTCAAAGAATTGATTTAGCTTCTATTTACTTTTCTCTTACCTCAGGTTCTAATATATCATACAAGTTATAAAGGAATATTATTTATTGGATGTATAACTGATCATTCAATATAGTTGGGAAAAATAAAAACAGTGAAAATCCAATGTTCTTGTGTTGTGTCATTTTGGCAAATGCTGTAGGCCTTCTTCAGAGAAAACAAAGATGTTCAAGTCCAGAGAACAAAAACCCAGCACATCATAAAAGTGAAAATCTATTTTTATTTATTATTTCTGAATATGCCACAACTACCATCCTTAACTATTATTTATGAAAATTAATTACATTAATTAGAAATATAGGTCTAATACACCACCTATGCCACATTATCACTGAAATCTAAGTAATTTTCAAATTTATTTCACTGTAATATAAAAAAAAAACAAGTGTGCAATTTTAATCAGTATTTAAAAAGTAATAAATAGAATAGATAATGCCATATTACATTATTTTAGTTAAAATAGATTTTGAAAACTTTTTCTTTATTTTAGTTGAAATAGATTTTGAAAACTTTTTCTTTATTGGTATGACAGAGCGAAGAATTAGTCCTTGACTCTGTTGACAGATTTTTCCTAGTCATTATAGCCAACAATATGTTTGATGATTATTCCAAGTATTGTAAAATATATTTATATGAAAAGATATAAAAACCTTCTTTTTGGAATGTACAACATATTTATTTCTTCATTAAATTAATAAATCCCTATTTTCAGATTGTATCATAAATAATTAAAATTTTAAATGCCAAAATTAACATACTCAACATTAGATGATATATCAGTACTGAATTTTCAGACATGATCTTTTAATTAAGAAAATATTTTCATTTTGACCAACATTTTTAAAATGTATTTTTTTGCATATTAAAATGATAACTAATATTAACTATAAAGAAATCAATTTTTTGCACTAAAAGTAAAATCCAATTGTTCAAAAACATTGGTAGTGATTCAGGAGATAACCAGCCATTGATTATGGATATCTCTAAAGCTTATTTGGTATGTGTATATAAAATTAAATTTTAAGTATAGATGAAACAAAAATCTTATAAAACAATCATATTTTAAAAATGAATATATTTTTTACATTCTTTTATTTATTATATATTTAAAATTATTAATTATGTTGTTTTGGATAAAAAATGTTTTCTTTTCATTAATTTTTTGCTTACAGGTCAGTATAATAAATAATCACATTTAGTTTTGATTATTATTTATTAGTGAACGTTTCGGGGAATCTCCGTTCCCCTCTTTAGCATATGATATACTATTTAAGATACTAATAAGTTTGATCAATCTCTAACCTTCACAAGAAAATAAATTAATGAAAAGATAATTTAATAAAAAAGGTCAAAACTGGAAAATGGAAAAAATGTTTTTTATATATAAAACTTTTCTTAAAATATTTTATATGTGTTAACATATCTTACATTTTCGCCCTGTATCATAAATATCTAATGCACATGTTTATACATTTTAAAAATAAAATACTTAATGTTATCATTTATCAAACATTAAAAATGATTAAAATCGAAATACTAGATTGATATTAATTAAAATATTAATATAAATGTTGATAATTTGTACAAAGTTCAATGATGGCACAATAAATTGAATCAGTAATTACTTGAAGATCTTTGCTGTACAACTTGTTCTCTAATAAATCTAAGACCTGCTTCTATTGCTTCCTCCGAGCTAGTTGTCATTCTATTATCTTTTCTATCATCAATCAATGATGACTCATTAATTTTTCTTTTCTTCATAGATGGCGGAGGTACTGTTACATCAAATTTAGCAGGTGCTTGATTATTATACAATGGTGCAAATTCGTCTTTCCTTTCATTTCTTCTTTTCTCAACCCATTCTTCCTGTGTCATTGCTGAAACAGAATAAAAATATTGTATAAAACTGAATTCAAGAAAACAAATAGAAGTCTTAGAGAATAGGAGTCCTAAAGAATTCAACACAGCAGCCGAGTGTTCTAAACCATTAATAATTCAGAAAAAGTTATTTATAAAAAACAGAGGTAGTGGTAGAGGTTAGTTATAGAAAAAAAATATTACCGAAATAGTGACATTCAACAAAACTTTAAATATGAATTAGTATACATATGAATATGGTTATCATAAATAAAAAGAGTGATAGGTTACCTGGTTCTTCATTTTTATCCTTGCCAACATCCCAAGGACGTACATGAGCTGTTCTCATAAGTTTTAATTGAAGATCTTCCACAGGTTCTGGACCAATGAGTACTTCTTTTTCTTCTTCAACTTTTGAAGGAGTTATGTCTTGTAAAATTTCTGAAACAGCAAAAGTAAAAATAATAAAAAATATTTCAGAATCCTGTAATATTTTTTTTTTTTTTTTTTTTTGGAAACAGTTAATTTTATTACATTTATTATTTACTGGAGACTATTTAAAGTCTTCAAAATATACATGATTTTGTCATTTTTTCACCTGTCACCAGTTGTTATTTGATTATTTTGAGATATAATCCAATATACAATTTGACTCAAATAAATGATTTTAGGAAATGGCAAAGTT